AGCCTCCAGAGATTCCTAGAGAGGCTCCTAGAGATGGCTCCTAGAAACGCCTAGAGAGGTTCTGGAGGCTGGGGACAGCAAAAAATGTCACTTCCTGTCCCACCAGGAGTTGGGAAATGGGCCCTTTCAGCCTCTGTAGGGCCTCCAAGGGAGTGGGAAAGGCTGTTTTCGCCCTTCCCAGATAAATAGAGAGGATCTGGAACCAAGTAAGAAAGAAAAACGGGCCTACCAGGCCATCATGTGTCAGGAGCGGAGGGGGGGCGGTGTTGCGCACGCATGCGCGTGGGTACGTGCACGACCCTCCCCGCCCCCCCTCCTGGCACGCGATGGCAAAAAGGTTAGCCATCACTGGCCTATAGCATACTAAAAGGTTAGGTGTGCATCATATCCGGCCTCCACTAGCAAAACATAATCCTTGTCATTGATTATGTGTGGATGGCAAGTTAAGCTGCAACTTTGCTTAGTATTTATCCTCCTCAATATCTGGCTCCTTTAGCAAATAGAATTTCAACTTACAGGTTGCTGTGTACATAGTACACAGAATTCTAATTTGTATCTGTCAGGGCAAGCTGGAGAGGAATGTTAAATCCAAACCCTCAGTTGTTTTTGCTTATCTTAAGAGGAGTAGGCAATAACAATGTGCACTAGCATTATGTTTGTTCAATATTAAACAAATTATTGTTTGGTAAAGCTAATATCAAGCTAGTATCGTGTATGTGTGTGTGGCAGATTTCAGCCCATGTAGATTTTATGATGCTGTTTAAGAATGAGACGGGCTTGAGTATTAAAGTCAACTGCTTCTTCAAATTATAACTAGGGAGCTGTCATTTATTAGCAACTTTGCAACAGACTTTTTTCTTTGGGAACAAATAATAATCATTTTAAATTGGATTTCTTTCAATTAAAAATAACATTTTGCAAACAATATATATTTTATTAAATCTGGAAATGTTAGCATACTATCCTCACAATTAATGCTTTATAAAATCAATGCTTTTACTAAATACATTGAATTATAAGAGGGTCTTCTATGACCAGCTTAATTATTCTTCAAATAGCAATATTTTTATGAGGGTTTTTAAGCCTGTAGGCTTATGATTACACAATAAATCCCAGTGTTCTTTACCATTAGTCATATTGTCAGTGACTGTTTTTATGGTAGATCAGGAAATTCTCTATCCTTAATTGGCTTCCAAACTGTCATTTAAAAAAAAAAAACTACAGTAATAAATTTAAATAATTCATTAAATAATTCAAACCTTACTTAGACCATCAGTGATACTCATTCAGTTTTGTTTGTTTTGCCTCTATGGGTGAGAAGAAGGATGGGCCAAGATAGAACTAAACAAAGGGGGGCAAATATTGGAAAACAAAAGAAAACTAGAATGTTTGCAGAATGTTGTATTATTTCTGTAGGCCAAGAAAGTATCTATAGCTATGTATGCAAATAATGCTAAACTATAATTCTTCGAAATGCTGACTTGTGCATGATGACTGAAGATTAAGGAAATATTTAATGTATCAATGGAAAAGTTAGGGTTAATCTCATTTAAAGCAACTTTTTCAGGCAGATTTAAATCCACTCTATTTTGCAGTGGGAAAAAAATAATTCTCTTAAAACTTCAACTTTTCTGGTTAACTTCAGTGGGCAACCATTTGACCTTCCACTGTTCTTAATTGTTGTGTTTCCCAGCCAAATGGATGTGTAGCAGTTGCATCATTATTTAATGGACTCATGCCTGCCACGTTCCAGACAGAATGGAGAAAATACTTCTGGTTTACAGGTTGCTAAAGGGAAGACATCCACTATATTACTGTTGTGGAAGATTTTACAAGTCTTATATGCTGATTATAAATTTGATATTTTGCATCTAAATTCTATAAATCTTACAGACATATCAAAACATCAAAGCTGAATCTTTCTGTCTGCAGACTGAACAGAAACCACCACTTTGGGGACTCTTCATAAAAATGTATACTTACGATATAATAAGTAGTGCTATAAAACATGGCAATCCTGTACTGAGAATTATTAACCAAGACAAAGTTTAAGCAGCTGGCCAGAGAGAGGTCTAGCAATCAAAACTAGGAATTTTATCAAATCTAGCATGGCAAAAAATAATATCATCTGCCCTTTATTTTTATGATTAGTGCTATATTTAAAAAAATGAAGTATGTTCAGTTAGGATTTAGATTTTTAAAGCAAATTCATGCTCGTCATCAGGTAAGATTTTGATCAAAATGATTACTGTGGTCTGAGAATAAATATCCGTACTTTAATTTAGTCAAAATTGAGCCCTTTGTGGTTGAATGTATTGCTCTGATGCAAGTGATCATTCATTTTTAAGTTTAATTTTAAAAGTTTTTTGATAATTATAAGAATGCTTTATTTATCATTTATGTATATATAATTTTAGGATTATAAACATTTTTCTGTGCATTAATTGGAATTGCAGTTGTCACCTCTATACCATTGCTAAATAAACAGTCTGATTTTATCTCAAAGCATCTTTAATTTATTGAGATCAAATAGATAGCTCATTACCAAATCTTTTGAAAGTGTATTGATGTTAACGCATGATTAGGAATAATTCTGTTTGGCTTCTCTATGGTGCTGTTACTCAGTTGTCCTTGAAGGAAAACTTTGAATGACTCACTCCTTTAATTATAACAAGTGAAACTGGATTCTTCCTCTTTAAGTTTAATGGCATCCTCCAAGAGCAAACCTATTATGGCCTTAATTTTCTCTGAAATGTTAAGGAACGGCTCTAATTTTTATTTAATAATACGTAATAAATTCATAATTCATACGTAATTCAATTCATAATTTTCACATGGGTATCACAGATATCATGTAATGTTTGTTGCTACTTAATTTGGTCAATTTGGGATATAGTAATTTTAGTTTCAGGCATTGAACCTTTCCATATAATGGGTGTCGAACTCGATTTCATTGAGGGCTGCATCAGGGTTGTCCTTGACCTTGGGGGGCCAGGGTGGGCGTGGCCACCTCAATGTCACTCATGTCGGCGCCTGAGGTGGCCCAAGCGCTCTGCCAGTGAAAACGGGCTTCTGAGCTCAGTTTTCGGCTGCGATAACCTACTGCAACTCTCTGCCAATGAAAACGGAGCTTGGGAGGGCGGTTTTCGCTGGCAGAGGCACCACGGGTTGGTCCTTCACTGTTTCCAGGGTGGCCCCGCGGGCCAGATCTAAGCACCCCATGGGCCATATCTGGCCCGCAGGCCTTGAGTTTGACATCCGTGCCATATAAGGTCTTTAAAAACATGAAATATCTGTCCTCTATTTTATTAATATTTACAGCCGTAAGAATTAAAGATGACTAATGACATTATAAGTAGGTATAATGAGCTGCGGTGGCGCAGTGGTTAGAGTGCAGTACTGCAGGCTATTTCTGCTGATCACCGGCTGCCAGCAGTTTGGGAGATCAAATCTCATCAGGCTCAAGGTTGACTTAGCCTTCCATCCTTCCGAGGTGGGTAAAATGAGGACCCAGATTGTTGGGGACAATAGGCTGACTCTGTAAACCGCTTAGAGAGGGCTGTAAAGCACTAGGAAGCCACTTACAAGCAGGGTGGATTTGATTTAAATCACTAGTAAAAAGACTTGATTTAAATCAACTCGATTTAAATCATAATTTTTAAAGAGCAACTGTCATGTCTGCTATTCCTTTGACCCGCTGTTGACTCACCGATAGTCCCAGTGTTGCAGAATATACAGCCTTGTGCTACATAACTAAGCTCCATTTCATGCTGAATAAACTAAATTATTTATGTATCTTAAATAGAAAACTATCTTACGATAGATTTTTACCCCAAAAGTTTTTTATTAAAATAAATTCAATAAAAATCAAAAAAATCCGATTTAAATAAAAAAAATCCGATTTTTTTAATTTTTTTAAAAAAATCATTGATTTTTATCCACCCTGCTTACAAGTCTTAAATGCTACTGCTATTGCTATAGCGGCAGCTGAACTGACAAACAAAAGTAATTCCCTTGTTCTGCTTTTCCTTTCTTTCATAGTATGTGAAGTTAGATTTTATTATTGTATAATAGATTTCATCACCTGGCATGCTACATGATACATTGTTTCTGTTTCCCTAAAGAGTTGCAAATAAAAGATTTTTTTTTAAATTCTGAAGTTTTGCTTTGAGTTTTGATGCATCTAGATATTGAAGGAATGTTTTCCTACAGAAAATGTAATTGTGTCATAAAGCGATAGCTACGTCTCACTCTACTTGATATTGATCAATATTTTGTACATCAATGTTTTGTCTCGCTATATCAAGTGGATATGCCTATTTCTATGTAATACCCAGTTTTATAGGGTATGCCGTTCCTGTAAGTTATCTACTGCTAGCAGTGCATATACTGTATTGGATAAAGTTGCTTGCAGAAATAGTAAACCAAATGAATCAGAATTGTACCATACCTCTGTAGATCTTGTTTTTTAAAAAATGGAAGTGTTGTCCATTAGTTTGTCAGTAATGGTGTCTGAGATCCCTGATCAGATGTATTGGTAAAAAGAGTAGGATCTCAGTAAATTAGAAAATAGTTTTGAAATACAACATACTGCTAGACGAATGGTTCTGGAATGTTTTGACTTAATCATGTATAGAAGTTTGAACAAAGTGAACAATGAAAAGAGAAAATAGTATCAGATGTGTAGATGGTGCAGCCAGCTTGTTTGAAAATGTAAAGCTATGATCAGTTAGTTATTGTGAACTAATAAACAGGAAAAATATATTAATGTGGAACCTATTTAGCAAGTACCGTGAAATATTTGGTTTTATATACTGTTCATATAATGTATTATATTTTTTCAGCTCAGTATCCTAATTATCTTATAATGCAACACACAATGGAATAAAAATAGATGTTTCATTTATGTTAAATTGCTTTTAATGTCTTTTTAAATTGTATTTTCAACAAAATGTCCATGCCTAAATGAGGATCAAATATATTGATAATTTTCTTTTCAGCGTGGATCTGATGAGCTTCTTCCTTCTGATATCACATACGGGACTCTTACGATGAGCAATCCTACTCCTGCTACTGGTATGATTAAGAATGCATTTTGTATATGCTCCTAGAAATGTTTTCTCAATAAGTTAATGTAGGGACAGATAAGGATGGTTGCAACCATTCCTGTCTATTTTTTTAAAAAAGCAGATGGATTAGAACTGTGGGGATAAGGTCTTACCTGCAAGAATAAATCAGTGACCATGTTTGCATGTATTTATTGTTTGTTTATTCCATCATATGAATTGGAAACTCTAGCATGTTTTCTTGAAGTAAGTCAAAATATGAAATGCTAGTTTCTTAGTTTATGAGATATTAACCAGAGATTGAACTGGCTGGGCTAGTGTAGCAGACAGCTGATCCCATAGTGGAAGTGGAAGTCTCAAGCATCCTCTCCCAGAAGCCCTCTTGAGTGTTCACATCCTGTTTCTGTCTCCTGTTTGTGATAGCAGCTTAGTAGTTCCTGCTTCCCCCATCTGCTTTCCAGGGAACACTTACCTGGCATCCTCTCCCTAACCTTGGTGTATATGAGTCAGAGGGCTACCACAGCCTTTAGTACTTTCTGGCTATTAGAAGGTAAACAAAGCAAAATTATTTCAATAGTGTAATCTGTCACATAGATATTATTTGCCTAGAAACTTCAGTTCACATTTCTTTCCTGGGAAGACAGAGCTATAGAGATATTTTTTTTAAAAAAAGAAGTAAAATGTAACCCCCTCCATTTCAACTTTAAATATGAAAATGCAAATAATTAATATTAGTAGATATTTTAATTTAATTTAATTTAATTTATCGCATTTCTGTGCCGCCCAACTCCCAAGGGACTCTGGGACTCTGTATATATCCCAGTGATCCAATTGTCAGCTGAAAGAAAAATTATAAAAGTGAATACAGTGCTCTCAGCAGACCCCCAGATAGCAATAGGTGCATACAAGTGGCATGTTTTCCTGCCAAAATAGCAATTTGCTGAAGCAAAAGGTTCATCTTGCTTCCTTATTTGAATGTACTGCAGCTTTTAATCAGCAGTTTAAGCAGAAGCTGCAAAAGAGATGATACACCCCGCCTCAAATTCAACCTCAGTCCACAGTTCCTGACAAAGTGTTTTCCTTCAGTTCTGCTTCTGGTTTAGTAAAAGGACCAGTCTAATTTTTTTTCCAGCAGAAAAGCAGAGGTAACCAGACTTTATACATGACCCAGAGTGTGCATCTCTCCCCCAAGGGAATGTCTATTGTACATATGAGCCTAGGGAAATGCATATGAGTTTCTGTGCTCACAGCTTGTGCAGGCTACGATCACAACATGACGATTCATTTTCTGTTTTCCTAAATTGAAATTACCAATAGATGAAATGTTGCTTTGAGAGTTTTATGAAGTGAAGTTGTCAGAATTTTGAAGGCACTTGGTTTGGGAAAAATACCTATGTTTAACCTTGCAAATTAAATAAGGAGAGGGAAGGAAAGTGTCTGATCCACTTGAACCTTGATATAATAAAAATTAAGCATCGAAAAGTATCTTCACATATAGCAAATATTACATTTTGAATCCTCTCTGTTAACCATTTGGAATGTTGACAGAAAATGGTTTATAAAGTTCCCGCTTTGATCCCAGGACAGATTAGTCTGATACCGTCAGACACATTTATAAACCACTTCCAATTATTGTATATTCTCCTCTATAATTTGCTAGCCAGTTTCCTAGGCAGGTTGAGTAGCAAATGGAGATATTTTCATTTAAATTGGAGACCTTAGAAATGGCAAGCTATTTCCTGCAAAGGCAACCTGTGATTACTGTGCATGTGCCAGCTAAGGGATCTGGATTATGCATTTCTGGCAAAAGCTGGACAATGCTTGCTATTATATTCTTTTTCAAGATGCACTAAACCTCATCCTGGTCTGTTGGCATAGTCATGCTACTGTATATATTTTAGCAAATAGCCATAAATAACATTGCTTAATCACAGTTAATTATTTTTGGTTTTCTCATTCTTAATCTCTAGATCTTTGATCTTTTTCAGCACTGTCATTCCCTATGCCTTTGTATAAGTCCCCAAAGACAATCAAATCACTAGATCTTGTACTTGTAAATATTTCTGTAAAAGGCTACTAGTAGCTGATTCTGCTTTCATATATCTTCTTGACTGTTGATTCAGTCTCTGCAAACATGCCAAAACAAAAAAAAGTTTGGTAAAATATACTATGCAGCTTAACTGATCATAACTAGAATTGTAAATTTGTAAATTTCTTGTGTTGATTTTTTTCCTATACTAAAGCAAAAAAAAAAAGTTGAACAGACAGAAGATTAATAAGCAAACAAAGTACAAGTTACTATTGCTGATTCTAGTTAATTTGAAGTAATTTTAAAATTTGGAGTTCACATAGCAATCACACTTTGTACTATGTATTCTTTACATGCTGAAGCACTTTGTATATATGTTTTAGCTAATGGGAATGACAACAAGAAATTTAAAGGAGACAGATCTCCCTGCTCCCCTTCTCGAGTTCTTCATCTTCGTAAAATTCCAAATGATGTCACTGAAGCAGAAGTAATTTCTCTAGGTGTACCTTTTGGCAAAGTAACTAATCTCTTGATGTTGAAAGGAAAAAGCCAGGTACGTGCATGTTTTACATCATATAATCAACCACAGAAAATAATGTGTGTAATATAAGATGAATTTGTCTGATAACCTTTGGAATTACTAGACATCAGCAGTGGTACATAGGTTTTGGCTCAGGTATAAGTTAAAACATTCTTACCTGAAACTGGGAAATAATTTCTATTTCTAAATGAAACTTCATTTTTTAAAATTTTATCTATTATTACTTTGTTTCATTTTATTTTATTCAATTTGTATGGCCACTCATCTCAAAAAAGTGACTCCGGGCAACAAACAATCATAAAATAAAAATCTGAATTATAACTACAATACTAAAAATTAAATACACACAGCAGCCAAGAAAAGTTTTACAATCTTCAGACATTAACATAACCAGGAAATAAGGCCCTTTACATACTTGGGACCCCCACCTGGGCACATAAGCAGCTTTTAAGGCATTACAAAAAGGCCAAAAGGGTCAGGGCCATCCTAATATCCAGATGGAGGATGTTTCAGAGGGCAGACACCACAGCAGAGAGGCATGCTTCCTGGTTCCTGCCAGCTGACATTCCTTGGCTGGTGGGATTTGGAGCATGTCCATCTTGCCAGACTGGATTGGGCAGGTAGAAATAACTGAGAGAAGGCATTCCTCAGGTAACCTGGTTCCTGTCTTCAAGTAGTCCTTGACTTACAGCCATACTTGAGGCCAGAATTTTGGTTGCAACTTGTTTCGGTAATTAAGCAAGGCACCCAGGCGACGGCTTTGCTGAATCACTGCAATCCTGGTTCTCCTCATTATAGTCATTAAGCAACTGTAAGGCCATTATGTGGAGCACATAGTGCCGGGGTGGTGGAGGTGCTTTGCAAATGAAAAGATGCATTGCAAATCATATTAATGATCCTTTTTCAAAGCATTGAAGCAGTTGCATCGTTTGGAAAGCTCTGTGGTACCTTAAAGTTTCTCATTGGCTCTTAGTACATGCAGTTTGTGTAGAGTGCACAGCTGCTTCAATTTGATGGTAGTCTCAGGCAACTCAATAAAACATCTGTGCAAATCTGCTAAAAGATTTAGCTCCTTTAATGTTTGAAAGGGGCAACTTCACCAATGCCTTGAGAACCAAATCTTTCATATACTTCACACTGCCTTATTTATTTGGAGGAGACTGGATCCTGATTTACACCCGAACATTCATTTCAATTGTGAAAAGGTGTCAGTTTTGGCATAATTATTTGATTTAAAAATAGTGTTATATTGTCTAGCCCAATGTTTCTCAACCTTGGCAACTTGGTAATACATGGTTTGCAACTTCCAGAATTCCCCCCCTGGCATGCTGGGGAAATTCTGAAGTTCACATGTTTTAAAGTTGCCAAGGTTGAGAAACACTGCTCTAGCCAATCAAATAAATAACGAGAACTTTAAATCTAATTCCAAATTAAGCCAAAAGCTAACCTAAGAAGGAATCAGAATTTAGCAGCTGCTGCAAATAATCCTATAAAGTTTATTTTTCTGAAATATAGTTCCATTAAAACTATTACCTGCTTTTTAAATCTAATTTGTAAACATTTTTGTTGTTAAAAGTTAACAGCTACTAACTACACGAATTATTTAATTGTATTTAAAATATTCAGTGTTTCAACTAAGATAAAAATACCACGATTCATGATTTGAGGCATTCTACTGGAATAATTACAAAATTTATTTTGTTTTCTGGTTACGAAAGATGTTAATTAGAAAGTACAAAGCACTGGGTAGATTTCATACAAAATGAGAAAATGTGGCTTCATACAATTCACGCCCTCCAAAGCATAGCATTGAACAAATCTCAGATCCCCTGATTTAGATGTCACATGAAATTTGATTGGTTTAATCTTTAATCTGTTATTCTTTCTTCCTGTCTACAGTAGATGAAAAGTATGGACACCATCATTTTGTATGACATTTCTCATTTTGTATGAAATCTACCCAGTGCTTTGTACATTCTAATCAACATCTTTTGTAACCAGAAAACAAAATAAATTTTGTAATTATTCCAGTAGAATGCCTCAAATCATGAATCGTGGTATTTTTATTTTAGTTGAAACACTGAATATCAGTTCAGTATTTCTTATAAGAAATCTATGTTTCTTGTATTTAAAATTTAAAAGCAAATTTAAAAAGTTTTGCAAAATCATTCCTGGTGTTGTTTTACCATTTAGAATTGATTTTAAAAAAAAAACTTCCATTAGTTTTTGGCAATGCCCTTTTGCAGCATAATATTACGCATTTAGGATTGAGGAGTAAAAGCAGACTGGCTTTACCAGTATATTTTTAAATGTTTTATTTCCATAAAAGGAGACTATGTCCACATCAGTTTGCTACATGTGTACTTGGCATAATCAAATATTGGCTTGGTCAGGTTTTACAGCTTTATCATTTACATCACTAATAAAGAACTGAGAGCCAGTTTGGTGTAGTGATTAAGCACCAGGCTAGAAACATGGGAAGTGTACATTCCGGTTCTGCCTCAGGCAGGAACCAGCTATGTGACTTTGGGCCAGCCCCTATTAACCAATCCTAGAAAGGAGGCAATGGCAAACTACCTCTGAAAACTGCAGGAACTAGTTCAGGTAGTCTTCAGAAATCAACACTAACTCAAAGTCAGACTCCCAGCTCCCACAGCCCCCCCCCCAACCTTCTTTTAGGCAACTACATTTTAAATGAGGAAAAAATAACAACTTTTTTGGAGGGTAGTAATACTAGTGCAGTTTTTGCTACTTTATAAGTTTTATGAACTGCTGTAATTTGTATTGATTTCTGGTACCTTACAGCAAAACAGTATCATACATGACAGTGTTGCAGATGGCACCTATATGTATTACATATTTGCCAAGTTAGGGTAGTGGTTTTCCAGTCAAGACATTTCTCTATTAATTTCAGGCTTTTCTAGAAATGGCTTCAGAAGAAGCTGCTGTTACTATGGTGAACTACTACACTCCTGTTACTCCTCACCTTCGCAGTCAGCCTGTTTATATTCAGTATTCCAATCATAGAGAACTTAAAACTGACAATCTACCCAACCATGCTGTAAGTATGCTACCTCTGAGTAAAGTATATGACCTTCAAATGCAGTGATGTCTCAGCAAACTGCAGTGCTGTCGGAATGAGAACATACAAACATGACATTATCATACAAATGTTGCCATTGAATATGTGCATTCTAATTTCTGATGCAAGTAATAATTTATGGCATTAGTGTGATAATAAAGTCATGCATGTTGCATCATTTCCACCCGATGCCTGTAATTCTATATTACTAATGATGACCCACTTTTTATTATTATTACTATTATTATTATGGCCACTTCATCTTTTTTTTCTTTTTGGGATGTGTATGTGTAGGATCTCAGTTTACCAAAAAGGTCATGAATTGTTATCAAGAAGTGGTAATTCTATTGCTTCAACTACTAGCAATAGACACAGTTTACATAGACTTCTGTAAAGCTTTTGATTCAGTGGTACACAACAAATTACTTCTAAAACTAAAATCCTATGGCATTTCTGGACTCCTACATAAATGGATAGCTGCCTTCCTGTCAAACAGACAACAAGTGGTCAAGATAGGAAGCACTCTATCAAACCTGTACATGTTAATAGTGGTGTTCTCCAAGGCAGTGTCTTAGATCCAACACTCTTATACTTTACATAAATGACCTTTGTGATCATATTAAAAGCAACTGTGTTCTCTTCGCTGATGATGTTAAACTATTCAACACCACCAACAATGCAACTACCCTTCAAAAAGACGTTGACTATGTGTCAGATTGGTCTAACAAGTGGCAACTTCAAATCTCAACCAACAATTGGCAAAAAAAATCAAAACATAAAATACAAATTAAATGGACATGACCTTGTAGATGACCCTCACTCTGTCAAGGACCTTGGAGTACTCATTTCTAAAGATCTAAGTGCCAAGCCCACTGTAACAACATTGGCAAAAAGGCATTAAGAGTTGTTAACCTAATCTTGCGTAGCTTCTTGTCTGGTAATTTTGTACTACTAACTACAGCATACAAAACATTTGCTAGACCAATTCTTGAATACAGCTCATCTGTTTGGAACCCGCACTGCATATCAGACATAAATACAATCGAGAGAGTCCAGAGATATTTTATGAGAAGAGTCCTCCATTCCTCTAACTGCAATAAAATACCTTATGCCACCAGACTCCAAATTTGGGCTTAGACAACTTAAAACTATGCTGACTTCAGTCTGACCTAAGCATAATACATAAAATTATTTATAACAATGCCTGTCAATGACTACTTCAGCTTCAACCACAACAATACATGAGCAAATAATAGATACAAACTCAAGGTAAACCATTCCAAACTTGATTGCAGAAAATATGACTTTAGTAACAGAGTGGTCAATGCCTGGAATGCACTACCTGACTCTGTAGTTTCTTCCCCAAACCCCCAAAACTTTAACCTTAAACTGTCTACTGTTAACCTCACCCCATTCCTAAGAGGTCTGTAAGTGGCGTGCATAAGTGCACCAGCGTGCCTACCGTCCCTGTCCTAATATTGCTTTTTACTTACTCTTTTCATGTATTCAAATTATGTTTATATTTTTACCTGTTATCTTATATATGCTTGACAAATAAACTTATGATTATGATACTTGTGGAGTTGGGAAATCATTTTACTGCTTGATGTTTCACTAACTGTTGCAGTTATGTTTATTTCCCATTCCACATAGGTTAATAATATATATATATATATATATTTGTTTAACCCAAATTATGGCAGCTAATTTGAGAAGAGAAATATATTTTGCACTCTCAGATGGATGACAGTTGAAGAGAAAAGACTTAGCTATTTGATACTGGAACTGAAGATCTTTGAGGAAGAATGCATCTGGGAATATACCTGCATCAGGAGAAATGTTATTCCATTGTAGCTGGTCTGAGAATAAAATGTTAATCAGATGCTTATAAGAAATTTATGTACGTGATCCAGAACATCCCCATAGTATCTAGTTCCTATATGTAGATGATCATCTTTGCACTCAAAACAGCTGTACTCCAATTACCTCAGTCACATACATATTAAAAGCAAGCTGCATGGACATATCTATTCAACACAGCAAATAGACAAAACTGGTAAAGATTTTAAGTAGTAAGCAGTGAAGACAAATTTTCTTTCAATTCAAGGGTGAAGGTCCTAATAGTATTCGTAAGAATTCTGTCCTCTTCGTTCTGTAGACCTTTTATGTATATATTATGTTCATTTGTTAGAGTACTATCTCACTTTTCATTCTGGAGCTTAAGGTGGCATGTAAAGTGCTCCCTCCTATTAATTTCCCACAACAACTTCACTAGGAGGTAGTAGGTTGGGCTGAGAGAGAAAGACTGGCCAACCAGTGAGCTTCCATAACTCTGTGGGCTTGATGTGGGTCTTGCTGACAGTCACCCCAACACCTTAACTATAGGTACTCCTTGATTTACAACATTTGTTTAGTGACCAAAGTCACAACAGCACTGAAAAATGTGACTTATGACCGGTTTTCACACTTGCAACCATTGTAGCATCCCCATGGTCATGTGATCAAAATTTGGGGACTTGGAACTGACATGTATTTATGAGAGTTCCATTTTTCCAAAGTCATGGGATCACTATTTGTAACCTTCCCAGCCAGCTTTTGATGAGCAAAGTCAATGTGGGGGGAGACTGGATTCGCTTAATGACCATATGATTTACTTAACAACTGCAGTGATTCGCTTAACAATTGTGGCAAAAAAAGTTGTAAAATGGGGCAAAACCAGTGGTGAAATGTAAAATTTGTTACTACCTGTTCTGTGGGCGTGGCTTGGTGAGGGGGAAATGGAACAGTGTGTTTAGCAGGCCTATGACAAGTCTATTTCTTGGCTACAGCAGCAACTCTCATCTGTATCCATTTTTCTTATGACTTCCTTGCGTTTTGTTGATGAGGTTGATGTAGGAGAATGGTGCTGTTGGGGTACACTTGAATAAACCTTTGAGTGAATCTTATCTTGTTTGGTTAATATTTTCAAAAGAAACAACAATTTGGAAATAGATTTACTTTACCTTATATAGCTATTCAATTATTCCAAAAGCTTAGAACATGTTTTAGATGTTTCTATAAAACTTGAGATGCAACAGAATGAAAAATTAGTAATCTGCACTATTGCTGAGGTAGATGCAAAGAAAAAAGAGAAAAAGGAAGATAAGACTATCCCCTGGAATCCTACTGATCCCTGTAGGATTTTGTTCTGAGCATAATCTGTATGTAATGTTTTTAACATGTGATAGATATATCAAAATTTCATCTCCCTCTCAGAGAACTCAAGCTGCATTGCAAGCAGTGAATGCTGTGCAGTCTGGAGGCATGGCCCTCACAGGTGCTCCAGTTACTGAGAGTGGGCTGCCTCCTGGTCAGAGTTCGGTTCTTCGAATTATTGTGGAAAATCTCTTCTATCCTGTTACTCTAGAAGTGCTATATCAGGTATAAACAAATGTTCTTGTTATAATTATTTATTCGGATATATTTAGCATTAAAATATGGCTATTGTTGTGTTTTCCCTTTGCCAAATATCTTAAGCCCGGAATGATTGTCCTTCCTCTTAATTCAAATGAAAAAGTAATAAAAACCAATTATTTATTAGAGGATAACTTGTATGCTGTAACAGTACGACAAACAGCACTAGTGATCCAGCCAGCAGGATCATGCATATCTATTTCCTTCTCTATTTCTTGTATAGTCCATCTTAATTATTTGCTTATGAATATGAATTCAAATCAGGGAGCACAATGAACACATAATAAAGTGATTCTGTAGAATTGAAAGAAGAAACTGGAATTAATAATTTTTGTTAGATCATAGCTTTATGGTACATTTAATCCCAATACTGTATTAATGTGGATTATTATAGTGGTGGAAAGCTTTTGAATGGGCAAGGTTGCAAATATAACATCTTTCTTTGGATTATTAAAGCAGCTGTATTTTTGCAAGGGTTGCATGGCTGCCTTGAAAGCCATTTCTGGCTATCTCTGCCTGTGTGTATACACACTGCCATTTTGTTTGCTTTTCAAAAAGGAAAGCTACTCTCCCCCCACCCCAATGAAGTTTAACAGATATTCACACACTTACATATGGAAACAGCTAGGAATAACTTCCAAAACACCTGCATAAGCCTTGCAAAGGACACAGCTGCCTTAGCAATTCAAAGAGAGATGCTATGTTTTGTGTTGCAAAGCAACCCTTTCAAAGGCTTTATGCAGCCTTGTTTTGTCATTTTACATAATGTCAGAACTGTGGTACTCGTTAGTCTTTGTTTCTTTAATGTGCTTATTTACCTTATTTACATTAAATATTGGGGGGAAAGCCTTTCAAGCTTAGGTGATATTTTCCTTGCAGCAAAACAGTAACATAACTGGCCAGTTTAACCAAATTATGTTTAATTATAATTTGTACATATTGAAGAAAAATCAGTCTTTGTTATTTTTGTTTTTATTGAGAGAACTGTTTCACTTAAGAAATTTGTTATAACCCCCAGTGTGTAACATTCTTAACATTGATACCATGTTCAGAATAAAAATTCCCGTGCCTGTAAATTTAGACCGTTGGAAATAATAATTATATCTCAAACTCCCAATAAAGTATTAATGCATGAATTGACTGTTTGAACTTTTTATTTAGATCTTCTCCAAGTTTGGAACAGTTCTGAAGATCATAACTTTTACAAAGAATAATCAATTTCAGGCCTTGCTTCAATATGCTGACCCTTTGAATGCACAGTATGCCAAAATGGTAACTTTGTGAATAGATTCCTGATATGCTTGCATTATAACAGTTTACTGCATATGAAATGCCTTATTTTTCTGGTGCTATGTTACACAAGTATTATTATGCTGCAATTTTACAGTACAGAAATAATGTTTGCAGCTCACACCAGAGCAATAATCATTTTATACAGTTATTTCTTTACATTACAGTATCATATATTTCTTTGAAATTCAGAGACTGCATAAGAATGTGTGTGTGATGAAGGGACATAATTGTACATTATAAACATGCTTCATTTAAATGTTGGTAGGGCAATGTGCAGAACACAGCTTTCCAAAAAGGCCTATTTCATTGTCTATCAGAGATGCCTACAATTTTCTCCCATCCTTTTCCCCCCTTTACTCTGCTACTGCTGTAAATAAAAGCCAGATGCTAATGTGATTGTTCTCAGTTTTGAAATATTATTCTGGCAAGTCTTTAAGAGTGATAATAAAAACTTTTCAGAACTGCTTTGCAAGTTCTAAACAGGTGCTCCACGAAGGCTATTTGGTTAATTATTCAAATCTTTCAAATCATCTAATAGAGCTGTGCACCATTTGATAGCTATGTGTTACCAATTTGATAGCATGAGTGATGCAGCATAAGCATGGTGTGTAGTCTCAAAGAAATGCAATTTCAAAATGATGTTTGGTGTAAAGTATAACAAGAGTTACAAAATTCTGGCAATATGGTTCCTTAATTGTTTACAAAGCAGATAAAACGACGGGCCCAGGCAACATTGAAAATGTGAACTCATTTGCCCCTTTGCTTTAACCAGAGTATATGTCCACACTACAACTTTGCATGTATTTATGTGATCTAGATTACAAAAAATCCTGGAAGCATTTCATTAACCTCAACTTTTTTACATCTCCATAGGCTCTGGATGGTCAGAATATCTATAATGCTTGCTGCACTCTTCGTATTGATTTCTCCAAGCTAACAAGCCTTAATGTAAAATATAACAATGATAAGAGCAGAGACTTCACACGTCTGGACCTTCCTTCAGGGGATGGGCAGCCTTCACTTGACCCTACTATGGCTGCTGCTTTTGGTAAGAACTCTTCCTTTGTAGTTGGAGATAGAACAAATTGCCCCTGCCTTTTACCATGGGCTACTGAGAATTTTCTTTCCACAAAGAGACATTATATAGCAGTAAAATGCACACCCCATCATTTAGAAAAAGTGGCTTTGAAAAATATTATTATTAATATAGGTTATGATGTTAGATTAATAATTATTTTTTTAATTGCAACACTACTGCTTATGAAAGCTGTCTCTCTTATGAAATTATTAAGATCCAAAATTGAGATTCTATTTTTTTATCTTTTGTGTCCTATGCATCACTGATGATATGAAAGAGAATTTGTCAAATTTAAAAAGGACATTCCTCCCTGTGTATTGGAAATAATTGGCAAAATTACTTTTATAATTTTGCTGTGTTCATTTTTGCACAACCTTTTGTCAGCATCTGTTGGAAATCACTACCAAACTTTTCTTCCTTAGCTAACCCAGAAGAATAACGAAGATAAATTTTGCTTCCTCTTATTTCAGGGGAAATTTTATTTGTAAAACATGAAAGAACACTGACTCTTTACAAAGCTCTGATAAGGCTATCATCTTACAATGATGTTACTGTACTTTAGAGGTGAATTATTATTATTATAGAATCTGGAACAGAAGTACTGATGGGTTCTTGCCATCCCTGTCCATTTTCAATTGGAACAAAGTCTTGAATTCAGCATTAACTCATGAGCTTTTAGAACTCTATCAAACTTATCTTTATCCATACATTTTCAGTGTTAAGCAGTAATCACTGTCAGCCATGCCCCGAAAGGATACTTTTGAAAATAATCAATATACTGTATTTTTTATTATATTCAATATATTGAGGTTTAACATATTGATCTCAAGATAACTCAAAATAAAACAGTTTTAAAAAAATTCTGAGTATTTCTAAAGTAGGCAGAGAAAAAACTTTCTTCTACAAGTGCAATGGAAACCATTTCCTTGTAGAAAGGTATTCTTAGTTCTTTTATATGAAAACTTTCTTTTCTGGTTAGCCATGGTATTCTTTGGGGCAGCCCATTAGAAATTGAGCTCAGGAATTTAGTCTTCAGAATTATAACAGAACCAGACTATTGAGAATTATATTGATCTCAAATTTAGCATAGGCTTTGTAGTTTTCTCATTCATCCAGGCAGGTAACTGATTGCTACAGATTTACTCTAAATGAGCAGTATTCAAGCAGAAATTTATCCTGGAAAGAATTTCCCAAAACTTGCATTTGTATTTTTGTGAACAAGGTGCATTCTGATCCCAGACATTTTTGCTTACAATAGATGAATGCAGGATTTTGTTAATTTCCTCTCTTCCTGTTCAGCTTTTTCTATGAGTAATTATCTAAATACACGATACACAGCTTCAGTAAATTCTGAGCCTAAGCTTTAAAAATTAGAAGAACAGGTAAGTGGCAGTATTAAGAGGAGAAAACATATTCACTTTCTCTTTCAAGCAGCCATATGTTGATCCAGTATCAAGTGAATTAATTAGTTTGTTAGGGTATCCGTTTGTGCAATACTGCAAAGAGAGTTTAAATGCTGTATGCAAAAACTCTTTACTATTCTTGGGTAGAAATACGGGGTATTGTATGTATTTGATATCAGTATTCACGCAGGCCCTATCTGGCTGAATAAGCTCTTTGTTGCTAGCTGTTTGCATAATGAATTATAATGGAGAGCAGAAGTGTGAATTAAATGATGAATGCCTATATTGCCAAATACAAGTCACAATACCAATGCATGCTGTATTATAACTATAAAATATATAGTGTTTTGCAGTATTTGTGTAACTGCCATATTGTGACTAAAGATAAGAGGTTTAGGAAGCTATTGAGTTGTAAAGGTTGTAGTCCTGAATGTGGCAATTTCCTGCTGTTTCCAAGCATCATAGCTGTAGCATGTGAATTGGCCTAATGAAATAGAGCCTACTTGATTTCTTTGCTTAGTGCTTATTTCTGCACATCATATTCTACATTTTGTACAAGTTGCTGCAATTGTTTTTAATGCCATAGTTTTACCTAAAAGGTGAAAAGGGTACTTTCAATCAGTTAAGTAATCTTCAGAGACTAAGCAATTGATAGATAGCATGAATCATCTTCTGTATTTTTCCTACTATCTTACTGAAGATGGGGAAAAATTAAATAGCATTATATAATTTAACATAAAAAAAAGCACTGGGCCCTTGTTAATAAACTACAGAGAAAGTGTTACATGTGTATATGCTCTTTGCACTTGGGTTTTGGTTCTTTAGTGTCCTTCAGAGAAACAGATTCTAAAATGCCTATTGGAATTATATCAATATTGAGGGAAAAGATTGTACAGCTATTATTCATTTCTTAATTGCCAATACAGTCTTCAAATAGAACCACATAAACTGAACTGAACAGGACATATATTCATCCCATGCAATAAATCTAAGACAAGAATCTTTCCTTTAGGGGTTGAATAACATTTTATGTTCTCTAGAAGTTAACCACCTGCAATCTGGTCTAATTTGTTTTCCTTCTTCAGGCACTCCAAGTATCATCTCCTCACCATATGCAGGGGCAGCTGGCTTTGCTCCTGCCATTGGCTTCCCCCAAGCTGGTAAAGACTTTTTTAGTATAATAAAAATCTAATTTTCTGCCTTTAATATTTCAATTAGGTTTGTTAAATATTTATATGTGTGCTAGAACCAAAAGCTGACAAATACGTTGGCAGCTTTTTAATGGTATGGGTCATGTATTGCTTTATTTGACAGCACATTAACAAAGCACTATAAACAAAGCTTTTAATATTGCTTGACTATTTTTCCATTCTGGATTTTTTGAATTCCAGTTAGAAAATCAAAGATATTTAATTATTAGACTGCAATTGGGCAGGAGAATATAAGAGAGTGTTGTCCATATTTAACTAGTGGGATTAGTGGGAAACACCAGAATCAAGGCCTTGGGTAATACGACATTTTGAAGGAATCCTTCTTCCATAAAACATGGGGAGAAGTTTCAAAGATTGGGATGAGAGTTTGATTTGATTCAGGTTGCTTTTTCAAAATGGAATTTAATCCAGTGAGGAGAAATAAATTGACGTGCATTTTCAGATTAGATTTACTTTTAACCTGAGAAATAAAAATGAAGTTACCTTTGTTTTTACTGAAATGCTTTTTGGAACTTTTGGTTGTTCTAGGTTTATCGATCTCGGCTGTTCCTAGCGCACTTGGTCCTCTTGCAATTTCCACCTCTGCAATGACTGGGCGGATGGCTCTCCCAGGAGTTACAGGATTGCCTGGAAATTCTGTGTTACTTGTTAGCAATCTCAATCCTGATGTAAGGCTAACTTGTGCATATGCCACAACTCAAACATAGCTTTTGTTTTAATTGTTCGTATTGTTTTGCAAAAGAAAAAAGTCATAATCCCCAAAAAGAATGTATATCTTACATTTGTAAACAAAACAACAACAACAACAAACGCTTATATGTATATGCTAATGTGACATTCATGTCCTTAATTAACATCTGTCAATGCACTTGAAAACAAGGAAAGGGGGTAATCAAATATCGAAACTGTCCAAATAGTAAGTAATCCTCCTGAGTCTGACTCCTACTGAAATGTTCACTCAAATAAAGAAAAAGAGGTAAGCTCTTCTTACCATTTGGTAATTCACTGAACATGAGAGTCATTCCAATCCTGTAGTTTTGTGTGTGTGTGTGTGTGTGTGTGTGTGTGTGTGTGTGTGTGTGTGTAAAAGCATGCAGTGACATTGTTTTCCTGTTACTTTCTGAATGGCTGGTAGAAGACTGTAAGCATCCTCAAAAACCACTGATTTCTCTCAGAACAAAATCTTATTTTCAAAAGGGAATATTATAGTATCTGCCCTCATCGTTAATAACCCCTGTTGCGTTTTGAGATCACATCTCTACTATTAACTGAACTTGTCAGTTTTTTCCTAAAAAGATGTGTACCTAAATTGGAAGACACGCAATAGTATTTTTAAATTAATTGTAAATGTGTAATAATATGACATCTAGCCAGAATGGCCTTTTACAGTATTACATCAGACAATCCAGTTCCTTGTTCTGTACTTCCTTATGCTCTTGACTATCTGATATAGTTATGGCAGGTTACATAAAAAGAAGCTGTTAAACTATCTAGTGCCAGAACAATTCTCTTTTCCCAATAGCAATGCCTTTAAATTCAGCCACAGATATATAACAAAGCTGATTTTTACAATATTGCAGCCCCCAATATCTCATTTCAAACTTAATTGAACTGCCAAGTATTATAATTAGATTTATGTTATTTGTTAAAATCTAAACAATCATATGGCCTTATCAATGAAAAACATGGCTAAATGATGTGAGTTATATACAGTACTACAATATAGAATATATTAAAACAAACATATACAGTAACTATATGATAATTCCGGATTTACAAATTATACATTACAAAATTGTTGTTATATTCTGTGCAGGCAATCACACCAGATGGGCTTTTTATCTTGTTTGGTAAGTTTAGTTTCTATATACAGAAAATACGTAACATTGTCTGAGAAGCTTAGGTTTCATGTTGAAATACAAATTGTAATTGGTTTGTGTTTTTAAAAATACTGGGTGATATCTGTATATTTGTTGGTATATGTATAGGAACTTGATTCTTTTGTAAATAATAATTAAATATATCCGACTTGTAGTTTTTCATATCTGTTCTGCTGCTTCTTGCACAGTTCTCAGATGTGTTTAATATATGTTATTTTTAAAGCTTTCCTTGGCATAGCATAGGCATTATAACATATGTATATATAACTGAAATGATCTTGCTGCAGAAAATGAATTCAAAATGAGTTTTATTTTTGCAGGTGTTTATGGTGATGTCCACCGTGTAAAAATCATGTTTAATAAGAAGGAAAATGCCTTAGTTCAAATGGCAGATGCAACTCAAGCCCAACTAGGTATGAAAAGTGCTAATCAAATATAGTGTGATTGTATTGCATAAACTGCTCGTTTCATTTACTTTATAGTAAACATCTATTATAATTTTCCTTTTTTAAAAAAAATCAGCAAAACTCTAAGAATGGAAACTAAATGTTACTGCTGCTTTTACCTCTGCAACAGGATATTGATTTTCTATGTTTTCAACTGAGGTTTCTTTAATATGAAGTTATGCATGTTTCATTTTCTATACTTTATTAATTGTGCATAGTGATCTGCTTCTCTCATAAATAATAATTAAAAGTATATCTGATCCTAATTCAGAAACATAGTAGTTAGAAAGCAGTATTCCAGGCTGACTCTGCCCATTGCCAGGAATTCAGGTTGACTCAGCCTTCCACCCTTCCAAGGTTGGTAAAATGAGAACCCAGATTGTTGGGAGCAATATGCTGATTCTGGAAACCACTTAGAGAGGGCTGTAAAGTAATATGAAGTGGTATATAAGTTTAAGTGCTATTGCTATTTTTGCTGTAAATAGCATAATGGAAATCAACATAGTTGAAAATTAGTAAAAGGTGAATCTAATATACTGACTGATTATTGGAACAGATCTTTTAAAATACTGCTTGGGACAGTATATTTTTTATTTATTTCCCCCCAATCTTAACTTCATTGTCTTAAATACTTCAGCCATGAATCATTTAAATGGACAAAAACTATATGGGAAAGCGCTCCGTATTACACTCTCAAAGCATCAAACAGTACAGCTCCCTCGTGAGGGTCAAGAGGACCAGGGTCTAACCAAGGACTATGGCAATAGCCCTTTGCATCGCTTTAAGAAGCCTGGCTCCAAAAACTTCCAAAATATCTTCCCTCCATCTGCTACTCTTCACCTCTCCAACATTCCGTAAGTACATCCAGATATAAAGAAAGCTTGCTCAAGAGAGCTGTTGTGTCTCCCTCCTTTCCATTCAGCCTAAACATGTGATTTGTTGCCTTCTTCATCAGATGTTTGAGGGAATCTGCTGCGTTGTAAGCCAGTTCAGGATATGAGTAGTTTATTTGAGAGGTTGGTAATGGTACACGCTTCTGAGTGTGTGATAGTGGCAAAAACTCATGCTTCTGAGTTTTGAGAGAGCATTAAAAAAAAAAAAAGGTGTTTCTTATTGTATTTGGAGCATACAGAGACCACTGTATTGTTGTCCTGCCAATTTTATTACCAGGATATGAATTTGATTGGTAGATCATAATATTGCAAAAATCCCTGAATTTATAAATTCGCACATGGAGTCTTGAACTTTCTTTTTGCCAGTAGCAGTTTGCATTATATGAGAGGAAAGCTGTTTTTGAAAGCTACAGGTATCTGAATTTCAGAATTCTTGTGCCTGTTTATAAGTTGTAGTTTCATGTGCATAAATTAAATAATGTGTAGAGTAGATTCGAAACATCAGAGTGGTGACATCATTAAGCCCAAGAACATTTGCTTATTTTTGCCCTAAATACCACTCAGCACTGTCTCATTGCAGTGTTGTACCATAAAATGTATTTATAATGCCACAAGCCTATAAAAAGCCTTAATTATCTGTGGGACAATAAATAAAACTTCAGAGGAATTTGTTTATTAATTTACAGTCAAGGACCAAAAAGAAAACAGTAAAACAGTATTAGATAATAAAACTAGATGAGAAATTAGCATATTAGATGTAGTGACAATAATAAATGTTGACAGTCTTCTGTGCAAGACACGTTTAGCCAGAACATCCAAGCTTGAACATAATTCAAATCCAGCATCTTTTAATAGCAATTGCACTTAACAAGTTTTGAGAATAGAGATATGTCACTAGATTGATCTATGAGGAAAAGATGCAACTTCAATATCAGGCTAACCTGTACATTTAGTAAGTAGGGAAAAGTCAACTTGGAGTGTCAAGTGCTCCTATGGTATAAAGGGAAGCACAATGAGACATTGAAAATTGTCTAAATGATCTCATTCCATCATGGCCAGTTGCTCACTCTGAGCGTGTGATACCTTTTATACTCTTACTCAATACATGGAATGGCAAAAGGGTAAGTCTATATTAAAATGCAGTACTGCAGGCTACTTCTACTGGCTGCCAGCAGTTTGGCAGTTCAAGTCTCACCAGCTCATGGTTGACTCAGCCTTCCATCCTTCCGAGGTCAGTAAAATGGGGACCCAGATTGTTGATGGCAATATACTGATTCTATAAACTACTTAGAGAGGGCTGTAAAGAGAGGCTGTAAAGCCACAGGGAGGCAAATGTACCTACAAGGATTAACTGAATGGAAAACCTACAGCAGAAAATTAGTTCTGCATTTATATTGCATTTTCATGCTGGTCTACCAAGAGACACAGCCCAGTCTGGCCAAAGAAGTGCATTTGGCACGGAATGGGAAACATTAGGCATCATTTTGATACATTACTTAGTGCCTTAGCTCAAGATAATTTGACTTCTGCAGGAATTAAGTTGTTTCCATTCTTGGCCTTCATAAAGACTATTTATTTCTAAACACTATTGTTTTATTTTCAGAGGGAAATGTATTCATTTGATGCAGTAACAAAAAAAAATCCTCTTGGCAACTTTAATGCTAACCCTCTATCTATTGTGTCATAAACAGTTGTGGATTGACATCACTTGGTGCACCTGATTCTGTAATGGACCTCTGAATTAAAGTGCTATCGACTCATCCTTGAGTTGGCCCAAAACAATGCTGATATAACATATACTGTCCCCCAAACCAGCATTAGAAAATGCCCAAACATGGCATTTTCCAGATGTATGGACTTCCAACTCCACAGCACTTATGAGAATTCTGAGTTGAAGTCTGTACATCTGGAAGTTGCCACGGTTTGTGTGCTAGACACTGCCTTAGACAATCCCTATCACTACATTGAACTTTTCTGAGTTATTGCTGGAGGGTGTTTTGAACTATGAGCAGGCCAGTTCTTATAGGCAAGATTATTCTCCTTTCAGTACCTCACAAACCAGTAGGGAAAATATCCACCAATCTGCAGCAGCAAGATTGGCAGGAGTCTTGCTGGGTTTCACAGGATTCACTTCTCTGTCGTTCAGGGTAGCTTCTGGGAGAATAGAATTCACTTTTAGTGAAAATGCTAAAGTGAAATAATGAAAAAAAAATCCCCTCTTCTTCCCCAAATGAAATAGTTGTCTCTGCTTTTACTTGTTGAAAACCTGGAGAGGAGTTTTCAAAAATGGAGATGGGGGTGAAAGATATGAAACCTATCTGGGAAGCAAAAGCACCATAGCAAAGAAACAGCTGCAGTGTAGGCTGGTTAGAGACCTGAGCAGATTATTTAGCCATGCCAGCACATCCCATCATGCTTGGCTCCATGATAATTGGCAATGGAGCTTTACAGATTTTATGCAGGGGTGGGTTCTACTTACCTTTATTACCGATTTGCAATGGGATCGCGCACGCGCCTTGCTTCTGCGCAGATCGCCAATTACGACATCCGGGGCGGTGGCCAGGGCCCCCCGCCAGTTTTACTACCAGTTCTTGTGAATTGGTCCGAACCGAGGGCAACCCACCACTGATTTTATGTATCTTGAAACTGTATTTATATAATGCCAAATGAGGAGGCTGAAAATAGAACTTTTACACTGGTTCTGCTCCACTTGCCTTACTTATGGGCTTGCTTATGTAATGAGATAAGAGTATTCTGAGGAAAAGTGGGAGATGAGTGTCATCAGCACACGATTATGTTATTGTTATGTGCAAATGGGAAGAATGTCTATGGAGATTGTCTGTCATCCAGGTCATGGTTGTCCCAAAAGTGCTTTTTTCAAGAGGCAACTGGACTTTCTGGGGTTTTTTTAAAGACGTTTCGCTTCTCATCTAAGAAGCTTCTTCAGAAAGTCCAGTTGCCTCTTGAAAAAGCACCTTTGAGACAAATAGGAAGAATATTTTTCTTTTTAGATTCCATGAATATTTGCTAATGTTGGGTACTTAATTCCATGTTACAGGCCTTCTATCACAGTTGACGACCTGAAGAACCTTTTTGCTGGTACTGGGTGTATTGTGAAAGCCTTCAAATTCTTTCCGTAAGTTTCTGAACTTTGGGTAAAGAATGCATTCTTGTCATCCATAAGGATATGAAAAGATAATATGATATTGAATTAATATTGATTGATTCTGTTGGGGGTGGAAAGGAACATGGTTACATAAAATTAAAAGCTTGACTGTATCTTTGAATTTCCTTTTCTGAAATTAAAAGCATAGAACTGGGAAGATGTAGCTCAGGGGTGTCAAACTGGCAGCCCGCAGGCCAGATGCCTTACGCGCAGGCCACATCCACCCCAAGTGTGTGAATGTGGGAAAGGTCGCAAAAAGTCATGTGACGGCAACGTGATGCGGCGAGTCTGTCGCCTGTGCTGTAGCTGAAAAGTGTTTGTTTTAACACAGTATCAAGTTTTAGCACACTGACATAGAAAAGAACAAAAAATCAGAAAAGGGCCTAAATAACAACCAAGATTTTTAGCATTCTTTTTTTCTTGCAATGTAAGCAGAATGAAGAGCCTCTGAAGATTTTCCAAAATAAATAGCATATAGGCAGAATGTAAGAATTGTGGTAGTGAGGATGGTGCATTATAAATACATGAACTTAACTGTTAACTTTTTGCTTCTAGAAAAGACCGCAAAATGGCTCTTATCCAATTGGGCACTATGGAAGAAGCAATCCAAGCCCTTACTGAGCTTCATAATCATGATCTTGGAGAAAATCATCACCTCAGAGTTTCCTTTTCTAAATCTACAATCTGAATCTGATGGATTGAGGACCTTTTGGAGTTCAACGCGTGTGCCCATAGTTCCCGTAAAATTTTCAGGCAGAGATTGTAATAGGCCAAACAAACGCTGCATCCTTGAACAATGAAACTTGTGTGGTTCATGTGTAATTCTAGACATTGTAACAAATCATGGGTTTATCTTTTGCTGTAATGGCAAATAGTCCTCCACAAAAATTTTCTGTTAATAATCTACCTTCTTTAATAGAACCCATCTTTTCTTTTTCTTTTTGGTGATTTCAGGAACATAGTCAAGCTTTTATTCCCAGACAATATTTATGTTCCTTGTCAAACTGTGTGAGTGATGGAATGTTTTAAAAATAACTTTGGCAAATTATACATCAGTTACATTCAAAATATTTTTGGTGGGAATAGATTTTTTTTTACCAATTAATGTTTTAATCATTCTGTATTGAAAATATTGGAGGAAAGGCCGTGCCTTATTTCTCCTTGGAGTAATATAATGATATCCAATTAATTCTGTAACCCACACAGGTAAATTGTCCTAAGGTGACCATGTTGACAGTTCTAATAGGCATTACATCAGAGTGTGAGAGATAATTGTTGTTACTATGGATGAAGTGTAATAAGATATTGGAGAAAATGAAAGAAGAAAAATGTCCTGATTTCAAGTTTTGTACATTTCTTTCAGAAAAATAATTGTTTACACTCCTAAGGAAAAAAAAAATCAGGTCTGTCATATGGTTTGACAAATTTTTAGAAAGATTATTTTTTGGTAAGGTCTTGTTTAAACATATAAAATTAAACCTCAAGGGTTTTTTGTACCACTATAATCTCTAATACTTAAATCAAAATTACTGTGTATTTACTTAATTTCTTATGTGCCTTATTATGTGCTTATAATGATATAATAGTTTAGAGTTTTATCTGAAGTATCTTTAACTGTATTGTGGCTTTGTGAAATTTTTTCCCTTTGTCTTAGTTTTTAAACATTTGGTGATTTTAAATATGTTTTTAATAAGTAATAGTTAAATCAGATTTTGGTGCTTTGGTATAGGGATGGGTAGGTTGGGAATGAAGATAATAACTCAGAGCTCCTGCTTCTAGGCCTCTTCACAATATTTTAGGGGTTGCAGTTGAGTGATGCCCTTGTTGGGCTTTAGAGAATGTTCTCAGTTTCTGGTTGATATCTAACAGTTGAGTTATTGACTCTGAGAATATTTTGCCTCAGGATTCTTTTCACCCAACAGTAATGGGCTTGTTGTGCTCGGTGCAGATGGGCTTGCATTCACAAATGTCAAAACTTCAGGACTGAATGTTCACTCCTTTTTGGAGAGAAAGATGCAATCTTAACTATTTTTTTGTGAAATATAGGTATACTCAAGTTATTTCTATGATTGTAATACAATGTTTTTAGAGGGGTCTCAAGATGTTACGTCTACTGAAAAAAAAATGCATTGTTTTATAAAATATTCCTCTCGTCAATAAGGATGGTAAATCCTTTACATTGATTTGAAAATGGAGACAAAGATTTAGAAAAAAAATGGAACGTAAATAATATGACGTGTGCTCGTTGTCTTTGGAACATTTAGTAGGTCAGGTCTTCTGTGAATACCAGCTTTTGCTTGGCAAAAAGAATTTCACAGCTTTAGATCAATCTCTAAACTCCTTTAAAATGACAAAATTATAAGTTACCTTTGAAATGCAAGTTTCTTACTAACATTGCTGTAGCATGAAAGGATACGCAGTGAGACACTGGCTGCCTTAAATTTATATAGTTGTGCGTGGAAGATACGGTAGTTTGTTGATAATCACAATTTGGACACTTGATTAGCATGTGTTTGTTTTGTTTTGTCAACATGTATGTTTCTTCATGTAAAGCTACATTAGTGTCCAGTAAGATCTGATCCCATTTTAGCTATGACTTGCAGCTCTTTGAAAATAATAAGTCTATTAAAACAAGCCAACTGTAGAGTAGCAACATATTTTCTTAGTTTAGCAAAGTGATTAAAATGAGTGCCTGATTCTATTATGGCACAGGAGCCTTAGTGTTTCCCTTTCATTCTATCTATTTTAGTGGACCATGGCTCAAAATAAGTATATTCAGGATAACAGCCCCTTAAGCCATTAAATAGCTTCTTGGATTAGAGAACCAATAAATTTGCCTTGTATTGTAACTTGCTAAATTACTTTTAGGCTTGGTCACCATGTGTTTAATGCTGCTACAGAGGGGGATGTAGTTGGACTTGATGAATGTAACTGAAGCAGGAAAAAATGAGACTGAGCATTAACATGTATAATATCAAGAGTGTTGTGTGTGAGTGTGTGCGTGCGCATGTGTATTATGTGAAATACCTTATGTTTTATGCTGATAAACATTGCAAGCATTTAATTTATTGATTTTACTAATCTTAAAAAACAATTTTGTAGAGTTAAGAGAAATAAATGGTCAATTTAAGATTTTAAAAAATACCATAGTTCCTATAAAATTTCCTACTTCCAGTCTTGAGTTTTTAGACCTACAATTATAGTTACATGCTGGCAAATGTTTTGGATTTTATTTTGGATATATTCTTTTAGTGAGATCTCATAATTACATTATATTCTGTATAAATCATGGTTGTAGTGTATGTGTGTTTAACATTTTGAGTTTGATTTTACTTGGCAAGCTTGTTTTTTCCATGAGTTGCAAATATAAAAAATGGCAGTACAAATTTTGCGTTTAAAACAGGAATTCCATTTATAGCAATAGTTAGCTTAATTTTCTCCTTCCATGGAATGTTTTAGAAGGCAACCTCTTGAATATGGATTAAGATAAAAACAGATACTATCATTTTCTTGTCCTTTTATTCCTTTGCTGCAGAACATTAGCAACAAATAATGTTACCATAGAATAGCAAGTGACTTAATTAAGGATATGGTTATTGGGTAACATAATTTTTTGCAGATATTGCCTTATCAAGGACCCTAGTATAGGAAATTATTTGACCATTCTCATCACTTTTTGTTCCTTTATTTGTATCCTTTACTTTCTGTTCAGCTATAAAGCTCTGTGGACCTTGCAGTTCCTTTGGAAGTGCAGTTGAAGTAACAATCTTCCTTGTCAGGCATTTTTGTGATCTCTAGTATTTGGGTTGAGGAATTGAAGGTAATTGGTTTTTAATCAATGTATAGAGCATATTTATACATAACAGCAGTAGCAAAGGTGCTCTTTTAGTAAACTGATTAGCGCCTTTTATGAAGAGGGATTTGCAGTTCCATAGATAAACATTTGTGATGAAATGCTTTCGAAATTAGGAATTGTGGCACATTCCTCATCTGATAGCAATGCATCAGAGCTAAAATGCCTTCAGAAACAACCAGGTTCAAACCTCAGATCTGTGGAGGGGCTAATTTGAAATAGTATTGGCTCAAGTTTTCAGTCAAGTAACTACCCACAGTCCTTAGGATTTTTATTCCTAGAGGTAAAGCCATAATAGTTTAACAATAAAATGCAAACTGGCTATATTTGACTATAAATGAGGAAAAAAGTAGACTGTATTTTGTTTCAAAATTGGCTCGGGAAGGATAACTGCAGTATGTATGCTGGCAGAGGTGCAATCTCTTACAGTCTCTTCATACCATGCATTCTGTCTTTAATAACAATTGGTATATATAGGTGCCCAATTTTTAATATGGTTTAATTTAAGTATTGTGCCACAATTTTTGTTTCTATCCGACATATTAGCAGGTTTCTGAATGTCAAAGCAACATTAATTTGAAGCCTTGCCCTAACTTGGTTGCCTTTCCCGTTTCTCACCTTTTGTATTCTTAACTGTGCTTGTAGGCTCTGTGTGCCTAAATTTTCAAAAGTAGCCTTGAGTTGTCTGTGTAGCACCTCTTCTTCCAGACTGAAAGGCTCCACTTGCAATGGATACTTACTCTAAAGTTTAGCATGTGGGGGGGCATTTTGTGAGCCAAATCCATTGCTGCCTATTTAAGTATGTCTGATGAAGACTATGGTGGTACTTCTGGGAATAGCAAATCTGAGCTGTGCTGTTCCAGTCTTCATCCTGACACACACACACACACACACACACACACACACACACACACACACACACTGCTATTTTCAAAGGAGCAGACCTGAGTAGATAACTGTATTAAAGCCATTTTGTTTGCCTTGACACTTTTATGGACTGGTAACTTAAATTACAACTGCCAGATTTGAATTGTGCTGAAAACTGTTGAAGTTTGCACACACATGTTTTTGAAGCAAACAAACTCCTAATTGTCTCTGCAAAAATCTGTATGTAGTATATGAAACTGTTCTTAATTTTTAAAGCAAATCTTAACAATTAGGAATTATTTTTTAAAAACGAAAGCGTCGTAAATCTTAATTTCAGGGTTTTACAAAGAAGAAAACAAAATGGGACCAAAGTTTATGTGCCTTCAGTAGATTTCTGTATTATTATTTTGTTTTGGCTAAATCTTTCAATCTATAAAATCAGTACTCTTGTGTTCAAGGAAATGTGTATTTATATAGACTAAAATACCAAATGACCCATGAACACATAATGTCCTTATGTGCAGTTGATTACTTACTGTTTCAGTCAGTTTATAGCTCTTTTGCTGTCTACCATTGTAACATGAATCATGCTGTACCATACAGGAGTTCAAGACATCTGGCTTTACGGTTCTCACAGTAAGTTTTAACCGGGAAAATAATAAATTAGTGAGGAAGATACATATTTCCTCTTTTATAAGTGAGCTCTTGTAGAAATTCCCATTCTTGGATTAATGTGCATCATTAGTGAGGATAGGAGGAAAACACCCAAACTTTTAATTCATCTCTTTAAATGTGTTATTTTTTTCTTCTCCAATTCGTTTTCCAGTTTCTGGACAAACAAGCCTACCACTTTCTCAACATATGGTTGCTGACCAAACAAAATGTTGCATTATTAGATTGTCACCTCATTTGCAATGACCAAAGATTGCTTGCTCTGGTTTTACTGAAACATCTTGCCAGTTCTGTCCTTGAGGTATTTTTCTTGAAAGACTCCATGTAAAGTGGCCTTTTATGCTATTGGTGGTGGTGAACAGACTAATTAATGAAACGAGACAAGATTTTCTAAAAATGTGAACCAAATAAAATGGTTTAAGGGAAGGGGGTGAGTGGATATTTAATACTGTATTCAGACAAATAAAGGCACACATTTACGGGAGCCAGACATTCCCTAATTTTTCATGTGTTCACAAATCCCTTTTTAAGTTTGTAAAAATATTCATCTAACACAAGAAAATGCTGTAAATATTTGTAACAACATTTTTTTACCTGGCAAAAAAAAAAAGGTTTTTGGGAACAAGTATAAAATGGTTTTTATATTATTAATAAAAAGAACATCAATTGTCTTGTATATTTTGATAAGCAACAGTACCAGCTTTGTTTGTTAAGCAGCTTGTGGCATTGGAAGGGAGAAAGGATTCCGTGTTGTTGAGATGACTTGATGTTATAAATGCAAAGAAGTTGAAATATTAAAGAAACCTATTTTCTAACTGTGTAGTGCATGGTTAATTTGAATTTCTGTACACTGCCGTTTTATTCCATTTCTTTTTAAGTTTTGTGTACTTGCTGATTATTACTTGAGTATCTACCTAACTCTTTTTCTAAAACTCTAGTTGTAGCATGCCTCTTAATAAATGTCATGACATCTGTACTCTCAAATTTTTCTGCGTTCTTGTCTATTACTTTAGGTTTCCCTTTTTAATTGTTATGCTAATGTCTGTCTCTTTTATTTGTGTTTCTTTCTTCTATTGGCCATCTATACTTGCTCTCTTTGGATTTTGTCTCAAGTCTTTGATAATCATGTTTTCATGAAACCACCTTATAAAAAGTAATATATAATGTAAGACAAATAATGTACTGTTTTGTTTTAATTTGTTCTGAGATAAATACTCTTAGAAGAAATAGTTATCCAGTTTAGTTCACACAGACATAGCAGAGAAAGTACAACAGCACATAGCTCATCAGATACAAGTTATCACTTGCCACCCCAAGTCAGCAAACATGAGAAACATTTTGCCACGAGTAAAAAACATTCTGAACTGTTTTGTCCTTGTTCATTTCATCAAGTCAGAATACCATCGCCAACTCTTAATTCTAATCTGCTTCATTTGGGGGAGTGGCTGGAGAAAATAGAGCAAATCTTTTCTTTGCATTGACATTAGATTAAGTCACAACAGAGATGATTTTATAATCTTGCCTCTCTCTCTTTGGACACCAGATTGCTTTGCCATTTCACTAGACTAGGGCTGTCAAACTCACAGGCCGGATGCACCACGCGGTGGCCACGCCCACACCCAGTTAGCGAAGGGGGGGGAAAGTCCTGATGTGTCACGTGACTCCACAAGTTTGACACCCTTGCACTAATCCAAAGTCATGCTGTTGTATTTGCTGCTAGACCACAGCAGCAAATTGTTAAAGCACACAAGAATAGCTGATTAATTTATTATATCAATATTCCAAAGGTCATGAAAGCATTTGCAAAACAGTTAACAGCAGTGATGAGCAAGCTAGGAATTTATCAAATGGCATTGCATTATCCAGCAGTGGTCACAGGAGACTGCAATGATGGCATAGGTGGAGTGACATCCTCGTGCAAATGCAGCAAATACATCTGTCCCGTTTCTCTTTTGTCCCCCAGCACATCCCATTATCTCTCTTCTCAACATTTTTATTTTATCTCCAAGCTCTTGCACACCTACCCCCACGACCATTTAAAAGTAACTTTGGCTGCAAATGTGTTGGTGCTTTTATTTCTTTCCTAATTCACTAGTTGTAACTTGATCCTTGAAATTCTGTCCTAATCTTGAAATTACCAGGTGACCCAGTTGAGAGTCTTTGTTCATTATACCTCAGAGGTTGACTGAGGCTGACATCAGAAAGGGCTTTTTACAGCATCCCTGTGAAGGAGATGGGCAGTTCAAAAATGTGATAAAATAATCCTGAGCTCTTTGGAGGAGGATGAAAGGTGTGGCATAAATATCAAGGACTGGAAGTTCAGAGCTGTGCCGAAGCATGTTCATTCCCAGCTCTTGCACTCCAGATGTTAACTTTGCATTAAGAAAAGTTATGGAGGGGGAAACAACAGCTGAAGCATGATGGGGCAATACGGTAATTACACTGCACAGGAGGTTCCTGGTGAGAGCTGCAGTGATGTAACGATTACATCCTGCTTTCATAAGCAGTTACAGTATGTTCCTGCTTTAACTTGTGGGAAAGCTGTGAAAGTTTTGAAAAATGTAAAAGAGAAAAGGATAGACCTGTTTCCCTTTTGTCAACATTCTATGATTAAGTTCCTAAATAACTTCCAATGGTGTACTGCATATTATATGAAAATGAGGGTGGGGATTAAATTGCAACATTGGATCATCCAGTTTGAATGCGTCCACTATTCTTCCTCTAATTCTGTAGTAGTAATGTTACCTTTAATGTTAGCTACTCACACGCCTACAGGGACAGTTAAGGGAAGAGGTGCTTAGCCTGGGCTGTCTACATACTACTAAAACTTCTGCCTGTAACCTTAAATTGAGCAAAATGATTTATCATAGGGCAGGGGTGTCAAACTCAAGGCCTGGGGGCTGGATCTGGCCCATGGGATGCTTAGATCTGGCCTGTGGGGCCACTCTGGAAACAGTGAAGGACCGGCCCGCGGTGCTGCTGGTAGCGAAAACGGAGCTTGAGGCTGCGCGTGGCTCTCCTGAGCTCCGTTTTCACTGGCAGAGGGTTGCAAGAGGCCATTGCAACCGAAAATAGAGCTTGCGAGGACCGCAGGTGGCGCTCCCAAGCTCCATTTTTGGTGGCAGAGGATTGCAGGAGGCCGTTGCAGCCAAAAATGGAGCTTGAGAGCTCGTTTTTGCTGGCAAAGCGCTCGGGCCGCCACAGGTGCCCCTGACCCGAGTGACGTCAAGCTAGCCACACCTATCCTGGCTATGCCCACCCTGGCTTCCCAAGGTCAAACATAACCCTGATGCGGCCCTCAATGAAATTTAAGTTTGACACCCCTGTCACAGGGCAAGAGTTTTTGAATCAAAGCTTCCTAAAATGGGCTAACCTAACTTATAACTTACAACTAAACATCTGGGATCCATTAATCCTGTTGCTACAGTCACATTTCCACAAGGAAAGTCACTGGGGAAGCTGGCAGGGTTTCACCACCTTCCTGTGCTCACAAGCACCATGTACTTTCTTTCCCAGCACTCACCAGAATACCCCCTCCACCAATTTGAGCATTGCCTCTCTCCCATTCCCCTTCCCCCAACAGAATCCCCAGGGCAGAGCTATCTACACACCATACCAAGCCAAACTCAACAGCAGAATATAGATATGATTTGAAACAAACTGTTTGTGTGTGTGTGTAAGATAGAATGGGAATGGCACTTGCAGGTATATATTACATATTTATAATGATTAGAAAATAAATCCATTTCCTTTTTTTTTTTCCTGTTTAGGAAAGGAAATATCTCTGAAATGATGACTCAAAAGCTCACAGGTGGTCTAGTAGTCAATTGGGGGATTTCAGGTGATCAGTGTTTTCTAGATAGTGGGGCCCTTTTCTGAGTAAGCTTGGCCGAAAATGGGAGGAGACAATGAACTGGGGACTTCTGCAATAGCACACTATTTTTTTGAGAAGAGGACAAAACCATGGTTTCTCTTTTAGTTCAGCTGTTCAAGCCTTCATAAATTACCGTATTTTTCGGAGTGTAAGACACACTCCCCTCCCCCCAAAGAGAGTGGAAATGTTGGTGCATCTTATACACCGAATACAGCCATTTTTGGCCTCCCGAAGCCCCACCCCGCTCGTCCCTTTTTTGTGAAAAATGGGCCTGTTTTTCGCAAAAACGGTGCACAGAGTTTGGGAGGCATGCAGAGTGCTCCTGGAGGCCAGGGAGGGCAAAACCCTTTTTCCCCCCTTACTTACCTCTTTGAAATCTTGGTGTGTCTTATACACTGGTGCGTCTTATAGTCCAAAAAATATGGTATTATATAAGTTTTGGCACTTTCGACACATATACAAAGTGCATATCAGGAGATAAAACTGATGAATTATCTTCTTTTTGCACACATGTGCCTTTTGTCCCAACATCATTTTGAAAAACCTCCAGAGAGACAAGGCATCATCTGTGAGAATGTTAAAAAGGGGTATTTCTATATTTAGCAAAATCAATTGCCTCTATTGGAGTAGTTAGTTTGCTCTAGTGGTTAAGGCACCAGGCTAGAAAGCGGGAGGCCATGAATTCAAGTCCTGTGTCAGCCTAAAACCATTTTTGGAACATCTTCAGGGCTGCCACAGCAAGGCTGGGTAGAGCTGTGGGAACATGAGGGGGGAGATAGAGATAGCTGGGGGATGTGTAGCCAAAATAGCATTCTTTCCTGTGGGAGCCAAGGACACTCTACCAGGTGTTGGAGGGGCATGGACAAAAGCCAGCCAGAGTTGGGGCTGCAACCTGATTGGACCATGTGATGCACATGTGACCTGGGGGGCAAGAACTTTGGGTTTCCTCCATTGACTTTGCTTGTTTGAAGCTGGCTGGGAAGTGTGAGGACCAGTTTTAAGTCACTTTTTTTGCTGCCATTGTGACTTGGAACAGTTGCTAAACAAATGGTTTTAAGTTGAGATAGATGCATATAGCTATATTAAAATGTAATACATATTTTAAAATAATGATAGTTAAAAAGGAGACTATTTGAGGCTTAGGTAAGTGAAGTATCTTCAGAACAGACATTGGGGTCCCACAGATAGCAGGTATAGCAATACTGAGGGAAACGACTGTTTCTAATGACTATTAGAGGTCTCTATAGTTACAGTTCCTGCATCAGCATCATTTAAAAAAAAACACCCCTCTCCAGGTTCTGGGAGAGAGAGGAAAAACTCTGGTGAAAACAGAGAGGAGGAAATTTGAAATGCGCTTACAGAATGCTATGTCCAGCTGCCCCAGTGTTTAGCTGCTAACTTTTGCCATATATCCCCATTTTAGGCCACAAGATAAGGTTCTTAACAACTTTGCTGTTGTGTCTGGCTTTGCTTAATATTTCTATACTGCAGCATAGCCTCCTTTTTCCTGTAGTGTGCTGGTTTCAGTTGACGGCCATTTCTACAGTTTAAGTTCAGTTTAGCACAACAGCTGCCTGCTAAGCAATACACTCTGTCCATGGAAGAGAGATGATGCTTCATATTATAAGGGGTGTCATATTCCCTTTGCGGTCAATGTTATTATAGGAAAAATGCTCAAGCACCACAATAACCACTGAAGCATTTTGATGGGAACCAAGACTCCAGGCAGTTCCCTCCCCTCCCCTCTCTCTTCTCTCTCTCTCTCACACACACACAAACACATACACTTTTTCATTTCTATCTGCTCCAGCACACTTTATTGCTTATGCTTGCCTGGTTGTCTAATCAGCAAACCAGGAGGCAATTGTTAATTAATCTGATTACAACCAAGCCAGAAGGACAGTATTTGCTCTCTATTTCATGTGCACAATGGCAGTCCTCCATCATGCTCCGCTGTTCTCATCTCAGCCCTTCAGCAGGAAGCAAGTGACAGCAAAGCGTATAAAAATAAATGTAAGTTCCATTGTGAATGGGTAATCTGTATTCATTGAGGCTCTGGGCTCACTTCCTTTTATCTGAGTTGGAAATAATAATTTTTATTGCATTATTATAATTTTTTTTTTAAAAAAAAAGGCAACTACTGCCCAAGCCGTTCACGTCTTTCATATTTATTTGGTTGCTTGCAGTGTAAAGATTTATGCCTTTTTCGTTTAGTTTTGTTAAGTTTGTTTTTGCTTGGAAGAACATAAAATGTAGAAAGGCACAAGAGATATTGTTAAACTGTATTATTCTTTTAAAGACGAAACTGTGATAATGTTTGAATAAAAAGTTTTCTGCAGATTTCGGTGCTGAAGCTCTCCCAAGACTGATTTAAAGATGGTTACTTATTATAAGAACCTCTGAGTAAACTGAGAACAAACCCCACTCCTTACTAGCCCTGATGATGTTACTTAGTTTGGGTAATGAAAGTTCTGCAAGAAAACAACCAAGTTCAGAGAGCACCAAGGATCCCTCAGGGATCTTTCAACATCCATCTCTGGAAGGTTAGATTGAATCTTTCACTGGCCAGGCATTTCTGTTAATGGAGGGAGAGACACATACAGGTACGCCCAAGTTAGCACTAGCAAAGTAAAATAATTCTGCTCCAGTGCAATATGTCATGACACAATACAAGAGGGTTGTCTTTCATTTCTAATAGTATTGGTGAAGGATATGAGGGCTTTATGGAATGTTCTACTGAAACGGGGGGGGGTTTAGTTGGTAGAAAAATAAAAAGGAAAATAGAATATGCAAAGATGCTAAAAGAAAACGGGGAAACTGCTCCTTTTCCTATATCTCCAAAATAACGCCATCAAGCCTGGTGGGAAGGTGGTTTCCTGCTGTCAGGAAAGTCAAGGCCTCAAGGAGCATGGAAAGGGGGAGACCTAATTTTCCTCACTGCCATCTTCTCAAGCAAAGACCTCTCTCTTGCCATCTAACACCACAGCAAACCTTATCCTTACTTTCATCCTCGCTGGAAAGCACTGCTGTTGTCCTATGTCAATTCTCCCAAAGCCCTTAAAAAAAAAAGAGTCAAGCAAAACATTCCTACCCACTCCCTGCCAGTGACCTATCACTTCTTTGCCACCTGTACCCCCTTGTTTCTGGGCTGTGAAAAGGAGCCATTCCAGAACTTTTCATGAGGATGGAGCTGCAAAAGCCATTAACTAGTTTTCGGCATGTGGAATTTATAATTTTTTTCAAGGCAAACCAAAAACAAAAAACAAAAACTTGAGGGGATAGTGTCTGATTCATAACAACTGATTCCGACCATCAAAGACCAGTTTTATGGCCATTTCCTGTCATTACATGGACCTCCTAATGTTCCTAAACTGTCACATTCAACATCTCTTAATGGTAGCCAGGTTGGCATAGCTGCTGAGAGTCGCAGTTGAGTAAGAGAGTAAGCCCCCCCCCTCCGGTGAACTGGTCCTCCTCAAATATGGAAATCAACCCTTCCATTTAGAATTTTAGACCTTGGACCTAGTGCTATGATGGCGAACCTATGGCACGCGTGCCACAGCTGGCGCACAAAGCCCTCTCTATGGGCACGCAACCCGTCGCCCAGCTCAGCTCTACCTCCCACCGGCCAGCTGATTTTTGGAATGCATGGCGGGCGGGGAGCGGTGCATGTGTTCCGGAAGTATGGAAACGGGCCCGTTTTCAGCCTCCGGAGCCCAGGGGAGGCCATTTTCGTCCTCCCAGAGAAAGCCTCGAGCCCAGGGAAGGTGGAAAATGGGGCCTCTTGGAAGTTCCGGAAGTGGACCTGTTTCTGGCCTCTGAAAGGCCTCCCGAAGGCCTCCAGAGCCTGGGAGGCAGTTTTTGCCCTCCCAGAGGCTCAAGGAAAGCCTCGGAGCCTGGGGAGGGCAAAAACACCCTTCCCACTGTCGTGCAGGTTGCTAAAATTTTTGAATCCCACCCCTTGCGTGCATGCGTGCGGGGGCATGTGCGCATGCACGGGGGCACGCATTGCATTATGGGTGCTGGCACATGCATGCATTTTTGGCACACACAGAGAAAAATGTTAGCCATCACTGACCTAGTGTTTTTGTAAGAGCCTCATCACACCGTTATTTTATTGCTTTTATTTTTAAGCACACTTCTAAAATTTTTCTTCTCTCTCCCCTTCCTCTATCCTGTATGTTACAACCACTTCTGTATTCATGATGTAGAACAAATAAAAAACAATGATCAGAACTGATGATCAGGAGTAAAGGGGAATCTGGTTATGCTCTCCAAAGTTCACAGCGGAATAGCACTTGGGTGTAGAAAAAATAGCTCAACATGAAATGAGAATCTGAAATCCATACTTTTTCCCTGTGACAGTCTGTGAAAGCAAAAGTTGGACATTTGAAGAAGCAGAATAGAAAGTGGTTTGGTGCTTTATGGACTTTGGTGTTCAGGAGATTGCACCTGAAAATACCATGGATAGTGAAGAAAACAGATTGTTGAACAAATCAATCCAGAGCTATCATATTTCAGAGACCTCATTCCTCCGACACACTATAAAAAGACCTTGTTCTCTGGAAAAATCTATAAGCTGAAAGGTGAAAGAAAAGAGAGGGCAACCAAAAGCAAAGCGTACGGACTCGGCTACAGTGGAGATAGGTGCACCATTGGAACCCCTGAAGGATCAAGTTGGGGACAGATCCTGCTGGGGAGAAAAATCTATGTGCTCACTAAGAGTTGGCTTGATGGCACCTAAGCAAGAAAGCTAGCTTTAATTTATAGATTTATCTGGAACATTGTTCCAGATGACCATCTGACTAAAATTTTCCCCACCATCCAGTCAGAGCTGAAGAAGCTTTTTGGATGAGAAGCGAAATGTCGTCAAAGAAAAACGAGAAAGTCTAGTTGCTTCTTGAAAAAGCACCTTTGGGACAACTGTAATCTGGATGACTGAGAATCTCCTTAGACACCTGACTAAAACATATTAATATGCAAGGCCAGATTGGGGAATCCATTTGTAACTCCCTCATCTCACACTTAATTGAATTATTTGGGGAAATTTTTAATTTTTGACACTCAGCATAATCCTAACTGCACCATTCAGGAAGTGACAGCATTTCTGCAAAGATCGATTGTAGGCAGATCCTTCTTGGACAGCTACTTCTCAGGTAGCAATAAAGGAGGTAACCTTAACAGAAATATGTACAAACTGTTACCTTTGGTAGTCACAGGTGCTGAAGTGTTTTTTAAAACCTAGGAAACAAAATAATATTCAGAAGTGGTTTAGGCAAATGCTTCCCTGACTTCTCCCCCTCCCCTATCTCAATAAAGTGTAATTCTACTCTTAACCATAGAGTTGATTTTCTGCTCTCGTTTTCCTAGTGTGGCTAATGTTGCCTCTATGTCTACAGGTAAAGGCTATTCCTTGTCAACATGAGCTATATTTAGGAACTAATTGTAAAAAGTAAATGCAAAAACTGTTTCCAGCTTGTAAAGGGAGAAAATGTTGCCAAAGGCAATACAAGAGATCCATCAGGAAATTACATTAGAAGGCTCAAAATTGTTTATTTGTGTTATATCAGAATCCTCACTCCCTTTCATTGGATTAGAACTGCACTATTGAAGGTGTTTTTTTAACACACAGGCAGCGTGTGCTGTTTTCTTGCTCAGTTTGAAAACTCTGCTCTAAATCATACTATTATCAGTTGCACCTTCTGGATAAAGGGATAAGGAGGCTAAAAATGCTCCCCAAACCTTTAAAAGTCCCTGACTATATGAACATATTTTTTTGAAATGTGATTATCTGAACAAGAAAAGGGTTTACAGTACCTGCTAGAAAAAGAAAAATCATAAGGCAATGAAATGTATGAAATCATACAAGAAACCAGTATACTATCTTCTTTCTGGCTGCTAGTTGAAAGTAACTACTCCCTTGTAAAGTCAACTGATACTCTTATCAGGACCGCCACTTGGATAGAATGACCCTATCGAAAAATAGTCCAGAACTGAAAGATCATGATAGGGTATTTTGTTGTTTAAACACTTAGCGGGTCTCAGGGGAGAACGCACATAATAACTAATATATTTGCCACTTTCTTTTGGGGAGCTTCGGCCTTATTTTTTCAGCTGATTAATTCTAGCCAAAGGTGAGAATTTCCAATAGTCTCTGCTCCAACACTTTCACTTTAGAAACGGTATTGATGTACCCCTCAAAAGGCTTTGCATCTCAAAATCCTGGCAAATCGATCCTATTAAACAACAACACCGTGCAGCCAATTCCCAGCCTACTAATTTCAGTCTCCCACTTCAGCCATGGGCAGAGTAGGGAACGCGGGTGTGCCACCTTCCTACATCTTCCATTCTGCAAATTATAAAATGCTTTTGCTGCAGCTTCATGGGTAACGATTAAGCTGGGGTTCAAAGGCGGAAAAATGGCCGTGAGGAGTTCTTGGGTGGCGATGGGGAGCAATTCAGATGCCAGGAGGTTCGGGGGTCTCTCTTGCTACACCCGATGGAAGGGGCAGGAAGGGTCGAGCCAAACAACTTCCCACGCTCGGCGGGTGTTGAGCGCTTCCTTCCTGCAACCCACAAGGGTGACAAGCGGCAGGAGGAAGGGGGCGAAGACAGATTGGAGCCGAGGGAGGAAGAAGAAGGTGACCGCGCCTTAGACCGGGCCTCCCGGAGCTGAGACGAATTGAGGCGGGAACCGTCGCTGCTGGAGGCGACATGGATTCGGGGCCTGTTGGGCCGACGCGGGGCCGTCGGCGTGTTCGGTTCACGCTGCTGGTCTTGTGGGCGCTGCTGCTTCTGACCCGCTCTTCGGAGGAAGAGAAGAAACGGGGTAAGCGTTGACAGGGGTACTTCGCGTGGAATCCGGTGCTTCGGCTCGATTTGGGAGTTTAATTCGGAGCACCACTCCCGCGCCAAGATCTTGCTTGGCTTTTGAAGCATCCGAAGCCGGGTTTGGTGTAGGGTTGGGCAATTACCGGCGGAGTCAGGGGTCAGTTTTGTTTGCTGCTTCTCTCTCTTTCTCTCCCTCTCTCTTCCTCCCCCTCCCTCTCTCCCCCTCCGTCCCATTCCGTCTCCCTCTCTACCTTTCCCCTCCTGTCCTCTCCCCCCTCTCTTCCTCCCCCTCTCCTCTCCCCCCTTCTCTCCCTCTCCGTCCCTTTCCCTATCTCCCCCTCCCTTTCCTCCTCTGACCCTCTGTCCCTCTCCTCTTTCCCACTCTCTCTCCTTCCCTGTCTCCTGCCTTTCCCTTTCCCCTCCTGTCCCTGTCCCTCTCTCCCCCTCTCTTCCTCCCCCTCTCTCCTCTCTCCCCCTCTCTTTCCTCCAAGCTGCTTTATTAAACATCTTGGACTGTTAATACTAATAGAAGTATTACTTGTTATGATTGCAGCTTTTTTCAATATGCTATAGAAATATGCTGAGGCAAGTTATCTCAGGGTGGCAAAATATTTTTTTCCTGACAGAACAGTTAATCAGTGGAACGACTTGCCTCCAGAAGTTGTGGGTGCTCCAACACTGGAGGTTTTTAAGAAGAGGTTAGATAACCATTTGTCTGAAATGGTATAGGGTTGCCTGCTTGTGCAGGGGATTGGACTAGAAGACCTCCAAAGTCCCTTCTAACTCTGTTATTCTGTTATTAAGCAGGGCTGCAGCAAGTCCCTAGAACAATGTGATAAAGCAACCTACATGTTGATCTCCAGATGTGTTGCAAAGGCCAGTCATCTGCTTACTCTTCTCCAGTCTGAGTAATGCCGAGAAAGTATCTCTGGTCATGTGCAGAATCACATGCATAAATAGCTCAAGAATGCATCAGATGTTCTGTTGTTTTAGAGGGAAAACCCATCTGTATAACAAATACAGCCCCAGAATGAATTCTACTTTTTCATAACATTTTCCCAACATATGTATTCTATTTTTCCCTAACTTTCAAGCATCCTTCTGTTCAGTGAGTAAAAGTACTATTAAAAAATACAATGGTCATTTCAACAGTGTCTCCCTTTTCAAACACGATGGGCCTAATCTTGATAGAAAGAAACCTCAAATATAGCAATGGCAAATTATGTGGAGAGGAGAGAGAGATATTTGTGAACCATTGAGCTTGCCCAACATCTTCAAAATGAGGATGTTGTCTTCTAGTAAGCATTGAAAGTTATTGCCTACATGCTAAAAAGTGGGTGGAAGCCACTCAGCACTTCATGCCAAGTTGCAAAATTTTCTTCTAAATATGTTATGCAAACCTTCCAGTTTGCAAGATTTATATGGGGAGCTTCCAGCAGGCCAAGCCAGTTTACCTAGTAGTGAAGGATGCTGGGAGTTGCAGTTCACTATTTATTCTCACAATAGCCTTATGAAATAACTTAGATTGCAATAAAGCAACTGGCCCATGAGGGATTGAACCTAGGTCTCCTCATCTGACAATCCTAATCTGAGAATCTCCCTTCTGTGTCTGCTAATTACATATTGTGCGCATTTTACTGCTTTATTAAATTAAATTAATTTCATTTATTAAATCCTGCTTTTCATTGAGCCCAAAGCAGGGTACAGAACACTACAAATTTTAACGATTTAAAACATTTTATTCTAATGCATTTAAAAATATGTGCTTGCTTTTTCTCTTCTTCTCTACTCTTTCCAGGTTCTCCCTGTTTTTCAGGTTTTCAGGTTCACCCTATTTTTAGGGTACTTCCCATCTTAATTTAAATCCCCCCTTTGTTTTGTTTTTTGCAGAAAACACCAGAGACGTAATTTTTGATGTTTGTGCTACTTGCCATGCAAATGCCACCTGTGTACAAAAAGATGGCAAAGATATCTGTGAATGCAACTATGGATTTATTGGAAATGGAAGAACGATCTGTAGTGGTAGGTGAATATTTACAAACTGTATCCAACTTAGAGAGTTCTACAGCAATATGCTTTTAAATACACTGAAAATGAAAGTCAGATCGTGGAGGCATAGACCACATTGCCTTCCAATTAGGGGCCATAATACAGCAATTTTGGCCTCCCAGGGATGGCCATGGTTGTGGCCAGCATCATTATGGAGTGTATGTCAACATTCCAACTGATGAACCCAGCCAAAGCAAGCACAGCCGAGACAATCCAGTCTCTCTATGCAAAACTTTACTGAGTACATTATTTCGGCACTGATGCAGGCAAAACCAGATCTAGTTAATTCCTGTGCAAACACATATAATTAAAATATAGATTCTCCCTCCCCCTATTAGAGCAGGTCACATTGTCTAATTGAGTCTCATCGTATTGTTATGAGAAAAAGTCTTTGGCTCTGGCAAACACTTGCAGAACTGTCCTTGGTTGTCACAACTGTCTTCTTGATATCTGGAGCCTACATTCCATCTCCCCCCTCCCTCTCCCCCCCCCCCCCCCCCGGTTCATTGGCAAGCTGAGAAGCGATAATGGTTGCAATAGCAAAAGCTATTGTCGAAGGTCGAAAATTGACAGGATATGGATAATAGATCAAAAGTATGCTTTAAACTTTGAACTAAATGTACCAGTAGTTCTCAACTTACAACCATTAGTTTAGTGATCGTTTAAAGTTACAGTAGCACTGAAAAAACTGACTTATGATCAGTCTTCACACAACCCATCACAGCATTCCCATGATCATATGATCAAAATTTGGTGCTTGGCAATTGACGTGTATTTATGCACTGTTCTGGGCTCATACGATCACCATTTTAAATCTTCCCAGCTGGCTTCCAGCAACCAAAGTCAGTGGGGGAAATCTGATTTGCTTAATGCCCATGTGATTCATTTAATGACTGGTGATTTGCGAAATACTGTAGCAACAAGTGTCTTAAAATGAGGCACAACTACAATAACTGCCTCGCTTAGCAACAGAAATTTTGGGTTCAGTTGTGGTCATAAACCGAGGATGACCTTTTCTGATTTTGTTATGCAGACTTCCAGAAAATAGTAAGTATGAGCTCAACCTGAAATACAAGGTGATCGTTGTTGTTTAAACATCGGAATCGATTCTTTAAGTCTCTTCAGCCATTTTTCCTTAACTACCCCTCCCATAAGTTCCTGAGGGAAAACAAGGACTGTTTTTTTTTTCTTTGTCTAGGCAGGCAGTAGGGACTGTGAGGATAATTTGTTTTCCATCTCTGATCTAAAAAGTTTTTCTAGCCTGGGCTATTATTTTGGGGAAAATGGTTCCTTTTTCAGAGCATCTGCTCTATGCTCAGATAGTCCTTGACTTACAACAGTTAATTGAGTGGCCGTTCACATAATCAAAATTCCGATTCTTGGCTACTGGTTTGTATTTATGACGGTTGCAGTGTCCTGGGGACATGTGATCAGCTTTTGAGACCTTCTGACAAAGTCAATGGGGAAGCCAAATTCACTTAACAACAGTGTTACTAAGTTAACAATTGCAATGGTTCACGCCAACAACCGTGGCAAGAAAAGTTGTACAATGGGACAAAACTCACTTAACAAATGTTTCACTTAGAAACACAAATTTTGGCCACAATTGTGGTCCACAATCACAATTGAGCCCAAAATTTCTGTTGTTAAGTGATACATTTGTTAACTGAATTTTGCCCTATTTTTCTTACGAGTTGTTAAGTCAATAACTGCAGTTGATAAGTTAGTAACCCGGTTGTTAAGTGAGTCTGACTTCCCCGTTCACTTTGCTTGTCAGAAGGTTGCAAAAGGGGATGACGTGACCCTGCAACGGTCATAAGTATGAACCAATTGCCAAGCAACTGAATTTTGATCACATGATCATGGAGACAGTCCTAAGCCACATTTTTCAGTGCCATTGTAACTTTGAACAGTCACTAAATGAACTGCTGTAAGTCAAGGCCTTGTCGAGAACCACAATGCTATTCTTCTCAGTTTCTCATATGTCCAACGTTAAGATTTTTTTTTCCTGAACAAATTGCATGGTAATCATTTTTGGCATGCAGTTTTCAGTTATTTATTTCACTATGTCATCACTTCCAAAAATAGCTTCTTCTTCTTAGAAAGATAGACAGATTGATACAATATGGATCTAAAAATGGGGTATAAGTCAGGCTTTTGATGTGGCAAAATTTCTGAACCATTTTTCATGCATTGGGGTCAGGGTTTTAAGGAGTCTCAAAGAATCTCTCTCTCTATATATAAGTTCAATGAATGGGGCTTATTGATGGTGCTGATGCTATCTTCATACACCCATTTATTCTCACCAGTCTTAGCCGTAAATTAGATTGAGAGATGGTGAGTTGTCCAATATCATTTAACTTATTAGTTAAGAAGGGATTAGAATAGATCACGGCTGTCAAACTCCCGGCCCTCAGGCTGGATGCGTCACGCGCTGGCCACGCCCATGGCCAGTTTAGTGAAGCGGGGAAAAGTCCCGATATGTCATGTGACATCGCTGTGACGACTTGAGTTTGACCCCCCCTGGAATAGATGTATCTTATCTGAACTGCAAGAGCCAAGTGACCACTAGATGGCAGCAAAGAGATGCAGAAAACTTTATCCCCTTGCAGTCATTTGTGATCACTAAGGTATGATATTCTCCCTGTCAAACACAACTACCTTGGGCTTTGATATATTTATTTTACTTGTATCATGCAAGCTATCTAATACACAAGTGACCAATGTCCAAGGAGGAGCAGATGGTAGGAGGGTCATCATGTGATCCCTGCACTTTTGTCCACAGGGACAAAAGGTCTGTGGTTTGTATCACAGCAGATCTTCTGCCGTTTTATCTTTTTTGAAGCTTCTCCTGCAGCTGTGTTTGAAACAAACAGATATTTTTTAAAGATGCTCACCAGTCACCAGTCTTATCTTTGGCTCTTCAAATATTTCCATACATTTGCCTCACCTAACAATTTTTCTCTTGATCATATTTGTTAAGCATATTGCACAATTTCCACCCAAACTCATATCTGGTTCTTCCATTATCAACATTTACCAATCTGTAGATACTTCCCTACAACAGCTCAGATGATGCTAGTTTATAATTTCCAACATACCTGTTAGCCCTTTCATTCATAATTAAGCTTAAACTTTCACTACCCTGAATGTGATTATCAATTCCACTTTCAAAAATCAAACCTATTTCAATTCAGATCTATTGTACCCTCTCCATTTTGGTTAGTTTCGCAGACTCGCAATGTATTTTTCTTTTACTTGTTAATTCATGTTGACGGTAACAAGTTGCCTACTTGCCTACTTGCCTACTTGCTCCTGGTTAGATGTATATGTATTATACTGACACATATTCAGGATATTTTCATCCATTATTAAAGGGGTAGAAGAATATTATTTGTTTTATTATATAATGCTATTAGTTGTTGTTGTTAGTCCCGAAGTCGTGTCTGACCCATTGAGACCCCATGGACTACGTTCTTCCAGGCCTTCCTGTCCTCTACCATCCTCTGGAGTCCATTTAAGCTCATGCCGACTGCTTCAGTGACTCCATCCAGCCACCTCGTTCTCTGTCATTCCTTCTTCTTTTGCTCTCAATCTTTCCCAGCATTAGGCTCTTCTCCAGTGAGTCCTTCCTTCTCATTAGGTGGCCAAAGTATTTGAGTTTCATCTTTAGGATCTGGCCTTCTAAAGAGCAGTCAGGGTTGATCTCCTGTAGGACTGACCAGTTTGATTGCCTTGCAGTCCAAGGGACTCGCAGGAGTTTTCTCCAACACCATAGTTCTCCTTACACACAGTCACTCAGGCACTCGTCACTCCCACCTGGACTACTGCAATGCTCTCTACATGGGGCTCCCCTTGAGGAGCACCCGGAGGCTCCAACTGGTGCAGAATGCGGCCGCGCGGGGGATTATGGGAGCAAGGGGGCGCTCCCATGTGACGCCTCTCCTGCGTGAGCTGCATTGGCTTCCAGTGGTCTTCCGGGTGCGCTTCAAGGTGTTGGTCACCACCTTTAAAGCGCTCCATGGCATAGGACCTGGGTATTTGTGGGACTGCCTTCTACCGCCGATAGCCTCCCACCAGCCAGTACGCTCCCACAGAGAGGGACTCCTCAGGGTGCCGTCAGCCAGGCAGTGTCGGTTGGTGACCCCCAGGGGGAGGGCCTTCTCTATGGCAGCACCTGCCCTCTGGAACGATTTGCCCCCAGAGATACGCATGATACCAGATCTCAGGGCTTTTCGCCATGCCCTAAAAACTTTTCCACCAAGCAGGTTGGCGTAACACCCCCCCCCCTTTTGAGATGTTAGATTTTTAATTATCTATGGGTTTTAGTTGGGATGTTTTAAATTTTGGGCCAAAGTTGTGTAATTCTTTTAAAAATTTTAAATTTTGTATTGGAATGTTTTTTATTTTTGGCTGTGCACCGCCCTGAGTCCAGCAGGAGAAGGGCAGTATACAAATTTAATAAAAATAAATAAATAAATAAATAGTTCAAAGGCCTCAATTTTTTGGCGCTCAACCTTTCTTATGGTCCAACTTTCACAGCCATACATTGCAACTGGGAAAACCTGTTAAAATGCTATTAGTGCTCTTTATTAATTTGATTAATCTCTGTCATATATTTTAAATATATTTTCAGATAAAAATGAATGTCTTTCTGGCATTTGCGGAGAGCATGCTGTATGCCATAACACACACGGAAGCTATTACTGTGTTTGCCATGTAGGCTTCCAGGCTTCTAATAAACATGGAACATTTATTCCCAATGATGGCACAAAATGTATGGGTAAGTACCACAACAATAAATCATTAATTTTTTTCCTGTTTTCATTTAATTTAAAGTGTAATCGGTACAATTAGTTTTAGTTTTTGGCGATGGACTTTTTCATTGAGTATATTTTAAACTTTGTGAGAGAAATGCATTTGTGTCTGATTCTCTTAAAATCTCATATAATTAATAGATTAAACAGTGAATGTAGTGTAAGTTAAATTTATATAGTGCAATATTTAGCAGAAGCAGTAAAATATATTTGTATTGTACAGTATTGGCATTGCATGGATCATCCTTGTGACACAATACTTAGATCTGCTAAAATTAATTTATTACTTATTTATTCTTTGGATTTGTCAGAATAAACCACACTAAATGTGCTTATTTCTTTTTCCCTTATCAGTTCATCATTCTGTTCTTAAGGTTTGCATTCCTCATATATCAGTAGCACATTTCTTGCTTTTACTGATTATCAATTATTTAAGCATATCAAGTTAGAATACATTGGTTTAAAACTGCAGAAGGTGTATAATAGCTTAAAAACCCATTTAATTTAATTTTTAATTTAATTTTTCTTATAGTACCAAGGAAAGCACTATTTTTCTCACAATAAATTTCAATCTGCTACAGATCTGAACCCAGTAAGGAAGAGAACTATTCACATGGGTAGTAACTAAAAGAATGGGAAGGGAATGCTGTTTCCTTTGAAGTTGCTTTTCTTCTTAAGCAGATAAAGTTCTCTGATTCTTCCAATTTTGTTCACTCCTAGGCATTCCAAGGATTTGTTTCTTAGGAAAATGAGATTTGGTGTTTTATATTTTCTCTCAAGGAACATTTCCCTCTCCAGTTGATAAATCTAGGGAAGTCAAAGTATTTGGGGAGAAGCATCTCAAATTTATTTTTCATTTCATTTTACTGCAGTTGTGGATTGTGGACCTCCACCTTATATTCCAAACACTCTGTCAGCTCCTGTGAATAAAACCACTTATGGAAACCAAATTCTTTATACTTGTCAGCCTAATTATGTCCTTGAAAGTGGAAACTCAGCTGCGTTTTGCAATGCCAAAGGAAAATGGGAAGGTGCAGACATGGTGTGTAAAGGTAAAGAGAGCATTTGAAAAATCTATTGGTAAATGTAATTGTTCCAATGAGAGTAGTCACGTGTCAGTCCATTTGAAAAAAAATGGTTCAGTTAAAACTCACAGAAATCAATGCCAACTTTATATAATTCCAAGATTTTCTGTATTGTACCTAACCAGGAAAACCATACAATGCTCCCCAAGTCCCCTAGATATTTTTTAAAGTTACCTATTATTATTGGATTTTTATCCCTCCTTTTTAATATATAACTTAAAGCAGTGAACATACCTACTGCCTCTTATGTTATTCTTAATTTATAATAGGAGTAGAGATTTTAAACAAAAACATGCATTCAGTACTAAAAAGTCAGCTTTTTCCCGTAGATGTTTTAAGATAGGGGTGTCCAACTTCTGTAACTTTAAGACTTGTGGACTTCAACTCCTAGAATTCCCCAGCTAGCATGGCTGGCTGGGGAATTCTGGGAGTTGAAGTCCACAAGTCTTAAAGCCACAAAGCTTGGACATCCCTGTTTTAAGATACTGCGCTAATCTTGGCTACTCGCTGTTGTTTGATTGTTTGCTGCTTAGGCTAGCCTAACACTATAGTGCGAAGGAGAGATTTCTCCAAAATTTCTCCTAGAAAAGCAAATAATTTTGGCAGTTGACTTTGAATTCAATGCTGGCCATTAGACAGCATCCCTCTGTGGTAATAGAGGCTTTTACCTTTCCCACAGAAGACAATGGGCTGCCCCATTGGCAGATTTGAATCTGTACTGTCTCTGCAGGTCAAATATAGCATTTTATGATCATTCCTTTTTTGTCTTCTCCTGGCTCACTCTGCCTAATGATAGCATCAGTTCTATATTTTGTATTTATTTTAAAACAACTTTTACTGTGTTATTTTTAAATTAACTTTAATGAATGTCTCACTGTGTACTCTTTTGCTGTGGCATACTGATCCAAACTTGCTTGTTTACATACTGTTTTCATACTGTGTTTCAATTATATTCTCACAGTGGTTTTCAGAAAGTAAGAAAAAAAAAATGTTTATAACCCCCCCATCCTAAACCTATAAAGCACAAAAGCTGCATAAAATACTTAGTAGGATTAAAACTGTATCAAAAAAGCTTAAGGAAAAAAACACCCTTTCCTGGTCTTGAAGGGATATTAAAATAGCCGTTTTGATTTTTTTTTTAATGTAATACAGATAAAGAAAACAAATAAATGTGCATAAATCATGCCTTCTCATACTGGTTATTGTTCTTATACAACTACTCTATGACCTTTTTGGAATTTGTTTTTAGTGAGAGACCCAGGGTGTTGTCAACTTATAATATGTGCAAAATGGTTTTATGTGCAGCTCAGTTGCAATTTAGATGCTTCCTTTGTTTTGATGGATAATAGTTCACAACGTTAACTTTTTAACAAGTTAACAGTTTATTGATCCAAATATGACAAATATGCCTGAACTGAAAATGATTCTTTCCCAAACATAATTCTCACAGAGTTCTCTTTAAAAGATTTATTCAGATGAAAGGAATAGGGATATAAGAACTCCAACAAGGGAACTAATTTTTCAATGTGGAACCAATTTCTTTCAGTGTATATTAGGAAAAAGACTTTTTGAATCTCTTTCTCACAGCCTTATTGTGAACTGAAAGCATGATAGCTCCTTTTCTTGATAACTGAGAAGTCTACAGCTGACTGTTTACATAACAGTCATTTGAATCTTTATCAGTCTGAGAACCAATTTTTACACAAGTTGTGGTTAATCACCAAAGAAATGAATTTTCCCAATACCTAATTATAGCTATATTAGAAGAGAGAGGACTATTAAAACATAATAGGTATTTCATAACATGGTATCTGAATCTGGCTAGTCCTGAACTACTTTCAGAATATTTCATGCAGCTTTCTGAAACTCTATACTATTTTTTATTGAAGTAGTGGGTATAACAGCATAACTGAGTTTTTAGAATTGAATCTCCTCTTTCAGAAACCTTCTGAGACTTCACACCCTAGTCCGGTTTTCAACTTTCAATTACTTGGTAGTTCATACTGCCACCATTTCTATTTTATTGTATGCCTAACCTGTCATATTTCCTCTAAATTGTGACAGTTGGGGCTCTCAGTTTTTCTGCCATGTGCTATGGTGACTAAAAGGTAAAAATGGGGAAAGAAACAAGATTAGAAGAGTCACAGCTTCTAGATTATATAAGAGCCCTGGTGGCACAGTGATTAGAATGCAGTATTGCAGACTGACTCTGCCCAAAGTCAATCTCTGCCCATTAGTTCAATCCTGACTGGTTCAGTGTTGACTCAGCCTTCCATCCTTTTGAAGTCGGTAAAATGAGGACCCAGATTGTTGGAGGCAATATGCTGTCTCTGTAAACCGCTTAGAAAGTGCTGTAAAGCGCTATGGAGCGGTATATAAGTCTAAGTGCTATTGCTATTGCTATATTTCAGACCACAAGATATTAATGAAGAAAACAATAAATCATCTTGGTCACATCCTAAGGGAGGAATAGAAAAGAAAGCTGAGTTTACCTAAAATTTCTTATTTCTATAAGAAATAAAAAGAAGAGACAATAAGGGCTAACAAGCAACACACAAAGAGGTACATTCTAGCACAATTTTCTGCCTTAGACATCTGCTTATTTCCCTGTACTTTAATCAAAATTTCAGAAAAGCTGTGTTAATTATGTTTTTTTCCTAGCCCTGATATCCAACTGCTTACTTTGTTCTCTGCTCTAATCCTGCTTCAAGATTTAAAATAATCAGTGAGATTCCTAGGTGAGGTTCTGTGGCAGACCAGTTCCCTCCAAAGTAGCAGATCAGTGAAGTGAACACTGGCCAGCAGTGATTTCTGGTCAGTGAAAGTCTTTCCAGATAAAGGAGAGCAGGAGAGATCGCCTATCTGAGCTCCAAACAGTTACTCCTCTGCAGGAAACTGCAGGATGGAAGTCTTGCAGTTTCTCATGAGTAGCTGGGGGCCATGGGAGAAACATTACCCTCGCACTTACAATACACGGCCTTTTATCGGTTATCTTTTTTTCTCTTCAGTAGAGAGGGAGGGTTGAAAACTGGCCATGAGTGCACAAGGGTGCTCATAGGCTGTGCCTCACTTGTGGATGTGTATTGAGAATGTCTGTAATCTCTTTGAGAAGATGAACATTCTGGGCCTGAGCTATCAACTTGTGCAAGCTGCAGACAGAACACATACCCCTCTTAACCAGGTCAACTGGCTTGAGATTGCTGTCTGTCTTTTAGGAGTACCTATGAAATGGACAATCATGCTTAAACCTGACATGAACACATTATACAGAGAATATGCCAATAGAGGAACATGTGTGGTAGACACTGTCTCTGCATTACTGGATCCATTTTGCCTCACAGTTCCATTGCATTGGCAAGGGTCTATTTATGTGAAGTACTTAAGTACATAAGTCAATGTAATATGTAGAATCTTATTAAACTATTTGATATGCGTTCAATTTTCAATACTCATATTTTTGTTTTATCTCCTGTCCCTTTAGAAATAGATTGTGGAAAACCACCGTGGCTGCCAAATACAGACATTATCTGGAATAACAGCACAACTTTAGGGAGCACCATATACTATAAATGCAAGGATGGATTTCAGTCTTTTGGAGAACATAATTTTTCACAATGTAAAATATCTCGCAAATGGGAAAACATTACTTTTGAATGCAAGGGTAAAGTTATCTGTTACTTTTATTCAAATATTCTTTATGGGTAAATATTCGATTCCTTTTCTGCAGCCTCTTGAGCCCCGTCTTACCATACTGTCCAAAATTGGTGACACAATTTTGAAACAGTAATGCTGCAAGCTACAGCAGCAGTATCATACATAGCTACATACAGTAGCTATGTTAGCTACCCTAACATAGGGTTAATATTTTGAATATATAAAAATACCCTCCTCAATAGGAAAAAATTGAAAATTCATTCCCCACTAGATAGTGACGTGATCTTGCCCACATCCTGTCTATTGTCATGGTACCAGAAGGTTGCTTTTGCATCATAAATACAATTTTCTTTCTGAGGAAAAAGTCTCATTATTGTCAAGTTGTTCATTCCTGATAACATGACCAGTAAATAGTTTAGAATCAGAATGGTTATATGAAAAGTACATTTTCGGTAGATAATTCTCATCCCCTCCATTCTAATGGCTGATTCATAGTTTCCACTTTTATCTTTGGTTGTAGGCAAATGTCCCTTATCCAAACAACCATATTTTCCTGACAACATTACAATAATTGCTTAATTGTTAAGCATTAAACTATTGCAACATCTACCCAATGAATGTAAGTGTTTGCAACATGGAAGCCTTCACATATACAACTGTTCATACACTATTTTCTCCATCACTTCATGTGAAACCCAGTGTGGCTTCAGTGCTGCAGACATTTATGTTGAATGTATGCGTATTTGTCACCTGTAGCCAGTGCCACTGAAATGACACTGATTGCAGGGGAGTTTATTTGGTGTTTTTGAAGGCTCCAAATAACGAATGTCTAAATGAGGCTAATATTAGGGTCATCAGATCTGGGCTGTAAAATTACAGACAATGGTGGACCTTTCATAGATATTATTCATTTTACTTATTGTATTGTTTCCATTTTATCCTTAAAAACCAATCCCCAAAGCAGGAAGCTTATTCTTGTCTAAAGCTGATTATAATCCATTGATTGGGAATTAGAAAGGAGTTCTCCCACAATTAGTGGGAGTTTGGGACAAATTATAGAGCACAGTCTAAACATTGGACTCTTAAAAAGAATCCATTTAAAATAAAGAAATAAACCCTCTTGATGTAGTACAATATTGCAAAGTGTATTTCTTAATAAAAATTCCTTCTTATCCCATTTAGAAATCATCTGTGGCCAACCTCCTGTACTGTCTTTCTCAAACATGATATGGAATGGGTCTACTCATCCAGGAAGCACCGTAGAATATAGCTGCATGAAAGGTTTCTATTCCACAGGGACAAAAAGTCATTCTGTTTGCACCAGAAATGGATCTTGGGAAATATTGGATTTAAGATGCAAAAGTAAGTGGAGAACAAGTGGAGAATATTACAGGTGTTTCCTGATCTAAGAACAGAAACAATTTGTTGGAATTCCCCAAATATCTGAGCTACAATTTCAATTTTTTCTAAGAGATCTTCCAGTTTGCCAGAGTTCATTTAGAGTAGATTGTGTGTCTGTGTGTGTGTGTTTCATCAGCTGGCAGCACTTGACTCTTCTTTTTAGATTCAGAAGCTAAGCTAGGTTAGACTGGTTAGTGCTTTGATGGAAAATCACCAAAGAATTCCAGGATTTTGGAGGGTTAGGCTAGATTGTGGAATAGAAAAGACATCCTGAAAAGAAAATGCATGAATTAATCCGTATTAATCGTCAAGCATTAAGATTGACTTGAGGATATATCTCTTATTTTGCACATTCTCAAGGTTGTGACTTGATCAGCCAGTTTAGGAAAGGCAGGCCTATATAGCCTCAAATTAAGATGCATAAGGACATAGTAACGTAAAAACAAAAAGATTATTGAAAAACATGGTAGAATGAGAAATGAATATTTAAAACAATCCTTCCCATAGCCTGATGCTATATAATATATTGAATTATAAGAACAGCTATGAGATAAGGTTGTAATTATTTTTTTTAAAAGCCTACCATTTTTTTATTTAGTAGTTAATTATAGCATTGAGTCTCAAATTTTAAATAATTGTCCTAAGGACAGGGTTAGTAACCCTTTGTTACTAGTTTATGCTGCTGAGATTGATTTGTGATCTACTATGATCTACTATAGAGGGGACCATTGTTAAACTACAATGAAATGAAGTATATTATCTATGACACATTTGTCATCCCAAGTTTTCCACCCAATAATTTTATTAAAAATTGCATTTAAGAAATAAGGAAAATACAAAACACTAATGCAGAAATACACACAAATATACACAGAGAGGAAAAATTGGAAGAAAAAAATTCCCCCTTCATTTCCAGCAAGTATAGCCAAAATTAACATCTTATCACTGTCTCTTAAAATATAAAACACTTCTTCATTCCGTACCTGACCCAATTTTCTATAAACCCATCTATAAATTTTCAATTATTCTTAGTAATCAGGAAAAGTCCATTAAAAGTTAACAGAAATAACAATTTAAAATATTTATATTTCCCCACTTATGCAAATTCCCCCTATCACTTCCAATAAAACTGAAAGTCCAATCCCAATTAACAATTAAATATTGTAAAAGATAATTTTACAAATTAACCCATTCCACTCTATTAAACATTACCAAAACTAATCCTCCAATCCCTGTCAAAAAAGGCCCTCATTAAAAATCACCAGAGATAACAGGCCATTATTTTAATGGCAATCAGATAAAACCAATTTTTGTATTTTTATTTCTTTCCATCAATGATCTTTAAGTCTCACCAATAAAATTTCAACATCTACTTTAGAGCATCTTTGTCTCTTCTCTCAGAATTCTTGTCATCTTTATTAAAATCCTTTTGCAGTTCCACTGAAACAGCTTCAGGAAATTCCACAAAGTCCAATGTAAAAAATAATGCATATCCTTCTTTTGGTTTATTATTCATGTATCTTTTTGAATTTTTAATTCATAATTCAATTTCATTTGTAAATCCAGTATTTCCATCCCTTTCTTATAAGGTGTAGTTTTTAAATCCCCTTAAAGTCTATTTCAATTTCATTCAGTAGAGTTTCTTCCTTTTCAATAGTATCTTTTGGTTCCATTATAAAGTTAATAGCTCTTCTTGGACCCAAGCATAACATTTCCATTAAAATTTCCCTTAAAACCATCTAAACGTTTTTATTTTGTAACCCAGTCACTCTTCTTAATCTCTTTATAAGACTGGTTTGAAAAGAAGGATTGTTAAGTGTTTAATGGTACAGTTTTGAGGTCTTGCATTTTAATAGAACAGTACTGGCATCCAGTGGCCTTTTTTATTAACAGCATGCATATGATAAATCTAGTATTGCAGATTGAAACTAAACTGGGGCCAGGGACATAATATAAAGTTAAGAGAATATGATTCTTTTGGAGCTCTAATATCTTGCAAGAGCTTCATTTTCAGTAATTTACAGAGGAAACCTTTTGGTTCACACTCATTGTGGTGGGAAAAACTGAAGCTTGTATTTTGCCATATATATCTGTGCCTATTGGAGCTTCTTTTTGATCTGAAAGAAATTATGGAGTTTGATATCATGTATTAGATTAGTGATCTGGAAGATAAGAATTAATTACTTATTTATGAACTGAAGCAGAATGTGCTTTTAAGTTATGTATTTAATGCATGTTGCATTTAAATACTATTAATTGACAGTATAGCTTCATCTTTACTGATTTTTTTGTTTAATCTGGTTTTTGATTTGCAGTAAAATACACTTGAACTTTATATTCCTAAATATGGAAATATAAATTTGAAATAAAATTTTGGAATTAATTATAAAAAATCCTTCCCATAGGAAAACAGTTTTGAATTCTTTAAAAAACATAATGAGATAAGGCTTTAAAAACTCATAGACAATAAGGAACTACACGGAACTAAAGATTACAATTAAAGAATAATAATACTCAAACTCACAAATGCAGAATGAAGCAAAATATTTTAACATTGGACATATTGAAGGTTATTTTTGAACAATGGAGTCAGAAATTAATTTTAAGAGGCTTTGCTTCTATAGAAGGATTGTGTTTAAAAGATGCTAGAGATAAGGAAAAAGTGTTACCTGACATGATTGAGATTGATGTGAAAGTGGATTTAAAAATAAAAGGATATAAGAACGATATGAAAAAAGATATTACACTGAACATACAAAAGAAATCAGCTGATATTTTAAAAATTAAAAGGCATGTACAAATAACAACCGAGAAAATCACTTGAATAATTTTCCTATATTGGAATTACAAAAGAAGTTTGTTAAAGCTTTGAAGAATTTTGTGAAAATGGACAGAGAAAAAAATTAAGATATTATGTTATTTAAAGGGACTAAAGATCAAGATTTCTATTTATGACTATTGCAGTGTCCAGGGTCATGTAATCACTTTTTGCAACCTTCTGACAAAGCAGAGTCAATGGGAAAGCCAGATTCTAATGTTACTAATTTAACATCTGTAGTAATTCCTTTAATAATTGTGACAAGAAAGATAGCAAAATGTGGCAAAATTCGCCTAGCAACAGAAATTTTAGGCTCAATTGTGGTCGTAAATCAAGAACTACCTTTCAGCTTTTGATAAGCATCTGGTTGACTGTCATGGAAGAGTTTAATTAATAATAATAACAATAAAAACATACTGGATGAACGGCATGGTGGCTTAGTTGTGAAGGCGCTCGCCTCCCACTTGGAAGGTTGAGAGTTCAATCCTAGATAGCGGCAGATGTTTCTCAGCTAGAGAACAAAGAAAAAATATATCTGTGAACACCATGTAGGCATCAGGAAGGACATCTGGCCAGTAAATACTCAGCTTCCTCCAATTGCCCTGACTCTACCCCGAATTAAGGGACTACAGGGTCATAAAAAGAAAAAAAATAACAGAATACTGGACAAGATAAGGCTTTGCTCTTCTTACATTCTTGCCATTTTAATTTGCAATACAATTATCATGTATTAGTTAGCAATACATGATAAAAATAAATTGGTTTGATAAATGACTTTTTCTTAAAAGTTTTGCTAACTAATGTATATGTTGTTGTTTTGTCTTGTAGAAGTGCAAGACTTTGTTAATATTACATGGAAAGATCCTTGTGTATCATGGAGGAGACATTATGGAAGTGCTGGAGTAAATGAAACTTATCAAGTTCGTGAGACATTTGATATCTTCTGCCTTTGAAAGATAAAATTGTCTTTGTTATTTAGTACAGTCAGTCTGTCTTCTGTAGGTATGAGTGGATAAACATTTATTAAAATGCTAGTAATAAAGGGAAGAAATTTTTGAAATAAAATTATTTAGATGGCTATGATTTTCTCTAGCTGGGTAATGGATAGCATTGTTCTGGATTCATTGTAAACTTTCTGGAGACAATTGTATTTGTACTTCTAAATGGGGAGGCTTTGGTAAAACAAAACCATTTTTAATGTAGATTTACTATCTTGCTCTAGTTTTTTGCTGTCTTCAGCATTATAAAATATATATTTACACTATAAAACCCTTTAATTTTTTTATTTTTTGGGGGGGCCAATTTAATTGTCATGCCCTCCCAGAGGATAATAATGTGGACATGGTGAGCCAATTTGCTGTGGCCAACTCACCACAGCCAACTTGCCACACAACTTGCCGCAGGACAACTCCCTGTGGGACAAGAGTTACACTAATATCAAAGAAAAGGTTGAATAGAATCATTAAAGAAAGGATGCAAAAAGAGAGACAGAATGAAATGTAAATAACAAAAATTAATTTTTTTAAAAATTTTAAATAATTAAATCGAATTGTTGTCCCATGGCGAGTTGGCCGTGGCAAGTTGGCCCGCAGAAAGTTGGCTGTGGTGAGTTGGCCGTGGTGAGTTGGCCGTGATGAATTGGCTGTGGTGAGTTAGCTGTGGTGAGTTGGCCACAGCGAGTTGTCCCATTCCGTGGTGAGAGGGTTCAATGTCATGAAGGTAGCTCTGGGAGTGATGCAGGAGTATGAGCTTCTGACACAATTACCGTTGCTTGTAGGATCAAAAAGCAAATCTATAGTGGGCTTTTGGGCAGATGATGTGAAAATAGTGACTATGCTTGACAAGGCTGAGAGAATTTGAGAAAGGGGAAGATAGCAGATGGATGGGGTTAAGCAGATTACAGAAAGAGATGGTGAGCGTTCATCCATGTATGTACCAAAAGTTGAGCCAAGTCAGTGTCATGCAATTTAATCAATTGCCATAACTTTTCTCTTCAAATAACTTTGGGAACCTGTATTGTGATGCTGCTCTTGCAGAACTATAATCTCTAGAATTCTCTGGAGAGTTGGAATTGGAATTTTAAAAATATTATATTCTAGAGATAGACCGTGGAGTCTTGCGTTTTAGAATTTATTTCTCTTTTTGCTTACAGATTACTATATTGATGCTAGGAAATGAATCAAAAGAAACGACAGATATGTTGATCAAACCTCCTGCCACTGAAATGGCTGTAAATGTGTGTTTGCAGTTACGCCAACACACAAATTACACTGTGGAAATTATTGCAGACTCCATCAATTTGCGTTTACGGCTCAGAATAGCACATCCAGTAATTCATCCAGTGGTTGGTAGGTTCTGTACTTCTAGAAAATATTAACCATTAATAATAAATAGAAATTTTGCCTTAAATTATTATTGTGGAACACAAACTACTCTTCCAGATCTTATGATAATGAGAAAGAAAAGGAAGTCCCCCCCCCCCCCCAATATTGCACTGATGTTGATACTTCTCTCAGGGGAAAAAAATGTTTGTATTGTATGGAAATGTGATTCTGAGATATATATACACTGACACAAAGTGGTTTAGAAGCAAACAGCTTGGATTGAGAAGTAATCTTGAAAAATTGTGAAATTAAAGCACTATGCACAACAACAATGAAGTAATGATGTTTCAAGTTAGAACTGGAAATTGAACAAGAAGAGGTTGGTGTAAGAAATGTTACTTTAAAAACAGGTAGTATTTGTATCAGGAAAAACAATATTCTGTAGGATTCAGAGGGGGGGAAAAAAGCATGTCAAATACTGTATCAAAATATACATTAGTTTAGAAAATAGCCTGCTGAAGTAATAAAAGGATATAAAGTCATAGAAAGGCTGAGAAAACCATAGAACAAAAGAGCAAATAAGACTGGAGAATAAGTGTGCTGTACGTAGTGTTTAGTGACAGGAAGGGCAGTTTCTTTTGATCCAAAAGTAATCAGGCAAGATAAGCAGCCAATAGGGAATGTCTTGGTTAGAATCTTCGGAATTATATTTCAGTAACATATTCTCTGCACTGCAGTGTTTTGATCTGAAAAGACCTATGAAAAACAAGGAGAAGAGTATTTATAATTTACTAGTTGTTTTGGCCCCAGGTCTTTGCTTTTAATTTAATTTAATTTAATTAATTCAATTTATATGCTGCCCCTCTCCGAAGACTCAGGGCGGCTCACAATACATTTTAAAAAATCATTATAAAAAAACATTTAAAAATTAAAAACATTAAAAACATTAAAATTAAAATTTATATATAAATTCAATATCTTTATTAATAAATAATTCCAATAAAAATAAGATTTGTAAGTATTTAATTCAGTGTCTTCCACTTCCTTTTTCCTTTCCAGAAAAGACAGTATTCAACAATATCTCCATATTTAATGACACCTGTATTAAATGGCAGAGAGTCCCAGGAAGAAGGCAGTCTGAGGAAACCTACCTAGTAAGTTAGGCACAGTTGTAATTGAATGGAAAGTAATGGAAGAGCTTTGAGAAATACTTTTTTCATGTTTCTGTGGATGGTCAAGTTTCGAGAGTGACGTTGTTGTGTGAAACACACAGGCTGACCCATTATCTCTTCAAATTCATAGGCTTTGTTGATTTTGGTAGCTCTTTAGCTGCCTCTTCAGAAACCGAAGTGGAACTAGGTAGTCCTTGACATACGATTGCAATGGAGCCTGCCCATTACGGTTGTATGTTGTTACAATCATAAATTGGATTGTCCAATTTTATGATCTTTTTTGCAGTGGTGGTTAAGTTAACACAACAGTCATTAAGCAAACCATCACTATGGTGTGATTTAACCAAAAACTGGATCTGGCAAAACTCTCATACTGTAAAATGCAGTCACATGACTCCAGGATGCTGCAAACGTCCGTAAATGCCAATTACCCAAAGCGTAGTCATGTGAGGGGTGGGGGTGACCATTGAAACCAAGTCATAATTTCCTTTTTTCAGGTATGTCCAAACTTCCAACAGTTGTTATGTGACTACCCTGTTTTCCCCAAAATAAGACATCACTTGATAATAAGCCCAATCGGCTTTTGAGCGCATGGCAATAAAGCCAAGCGCTTATTTCAAGGTTCAAAAAAATATAAGACAGGATCTTATTTTCAGGAAAACACAGTAGTTATAAATTGAGAACTACCTGCAAAGGGATAGTACAGATTTATTTAAATTTATTTTCCCTGAAGTATTTTTGTCAGGTAGCATAAAATTAAAAGAATTCTGGTGCCTGTTATGAAAAACTATTACGTTATGCCTCTTCTCTTTGTAGATTGTGATAAACTGTATCAAGATTTGAATAGGCCTGTAAGCAGATGTTCTGCAGATGTTGCAGAACTACATATCCCAATAGAAGCAGCCAGCTTTAATAAACCTAAAGAACAAGCCAATTTATCTTTCGATGTACAAAAATGTGAAGTGGGGTTGGAGTCAGTGGTGGGTTCCTCCCGGTTCCACCCAGTTCCGCCGAGCCGGTAGTGGTGATGATATGACGTCGCCGAACCGGTTCTGCCCCCCCACCCCCCGCATTATTCTTACCTTTTATTTGCCCCCACCCCCAATCTATTGCTGCCTCCTGAGTCCCAGCTGATCGGCTAGAGGGAAAAAAACTGTTTAAACTCTTGCCACAGGGCTTCAAAGGGCCGCCCTACAGCTGATCAGTGTTAAAAGAAAACAAATGAGTAGACCAGTGCCTGCAAAAATAAATGGGTAGACCAGTGCCTGCAAAAATAAATGGGTAGATCGGTACAGCTCTGCAAGCAGTTAAAAGCCTGGTAGACCAGTACCTCTGCTAAATCCTAAATAATTGTCACATGACCATCAAGCCACGTCCACAAAATAAGCCACGCCCTCAGAACGGTAGTAAAAAATTTTAGAACCCACCCCTGGTTGGAGTGGACTTCCTGGATCTCATGAATGATTTGCAGATGCAGCCTTTAACTTACTCATGCACGCATATCATGGATTGTGAAGTCAATCTCTTTCTTTACTTTTTCCTCTGCCTGGTGGGCTGTTCTTGCCAGAAGTCTGAACAAATCACTTTCAAGTGTTTTGAAATAAGACTCAGTGCATGGATTATTTATCATCAAGAGCCATGGTGGCACAGTTGTTAGAACACAATATTGCAGGTTAACTCTGCCCACTGCCAGGAGTTTGATCCTGACCGGCTAAAGGTTGACTCAGCCTTCCATCCTTTCGAGGTTGGTAAAATGAGGGCACATAGATTGTTTGGGGCAATATGATGACTCTTTAAACTGCTTAGAGAGGGCTGTAAAGCACTATGAAGTGGCATATAAGTCTAAATGTTATTGCTATCTGGTTTGGCACTTTCTGTATCCTCAACCCCACCCCACCCCAATCCACCGTTACTGTATACATTTAGCCCAACTTTCCTCAATCCATACCTTCCAGATTGTTTGGAATGATCCATGTTGGCTGGGAATTGTAGTTCCAATTCACCAGGAAGCATCACGTTAGAGAAAGCTTCTTGCCCATCATGCCCTTTTTCTCTCAAATTAGACATTTTTTCAGTACATGTATATTTAGACTGTCCATTAGTGTCATACGCACAGCATAATTCACAGTGTCAGATATGTTTAATTATGCATTTCTTGTTACAGATTCACCTAGTGGGTCTACGTTGGTATCAGAAGGAATTCAGTCATGAAATGATTCTTAACTTTACCACAGATTCTTGGAATCCAGAATTGTGCCTCAATTTATCTTCAGGCAGCAATTACACTGTAAACATCTCCACTGCTGACCTAAAGCATAGTGTCCTCATCCATTTGAGTGTCCCATTAGCAGGTAGTGCCTTGATTTACAATTTTTCTTGTTTTTTCATATCCCAAGGTTGTTCCTTCAGTATGAGAATCTATAGCAACTTCACATTCTTGAGAGCCTGGCTTCCATGTTTGATTAAATAATTTTATATACAGTCAAATTTTCAATATTTCTGCACAAATCAGACCTAAAGCATGACTTTTTCCCCTCATGAGTTATATTTTTACATAAGAAGCAATGTGGCAGATCTTAAAAAGTTAATAAAAGTGTGGGTTTATTGCTAAACCGTCCTTTCTTCAGTGGCTGTTCACTCCTTATTAATGAGCATGTTTCCCACCCAGAAAACATCCTGGGCACCCTTGTAAAGAGGACCCATTGTTCTGAATGGGTGGTTTTTTTTTTTGCAGGAAATACTAAATAAATGCCGGTTTCCAGCAAAAAAAATGTGAATCATGGGATGCTACAAACAACTATAAATGTGGACTGATTGCCAAGAACCCCAAATACCATCATATGACTGTGGGGAGAGCAGCCATTGGAACTCCAAAACTAGGCCATAAGTAGTTCTGAGATGATCTGTTGTAACTTTGAACAATTGCTAAGACACCAGTCATAGGTAAAGGACTACCTGTGCGGTTTCAAACCATATATCAGTTTTTCCCAAACTGGAGTTTTCCAGGTCTATTGGACTTCTCCTTCTAGAATTCCCATCCAAAATTATAGAAATTGAATTCGAAATTGTCTGGAAGACTACAGCTTAGGCAAACTGCTAGTGATTCAAGAGGAGTTCAGATTGGTCCAGAGGGGGAACAGAGCATTCCAGAGTTCTGCACAATATTTCATTTTTGAATCAGTGAGTTTTACTCATCCCTATCATATATCAGGTACTGAAAACAATTTAAAATTAAAATAATATTCCCCCAGGTCACTGGGAAACTCCTCAAGTGCCATCTGGAATCTTGCTGAATCCATCAGGTATATTGAATCTTTCTAGAGTGCACTAAGGATATAATTCTTAATGTATAACAGAATTAATGGTGGTCAGTAGTTCATTTGTAGGACAAGGACCAAATAATGATAACATGCATACTGGCAGCATTTTATGAAATACGGAAGGTATATAAAATATTACTGACTGCTGTCTCCCAATGACAATGTGCTGTTAAATATAATTTACATCTGTTTGGGTTTTTTAAAGCTTTGGAACAGTGAGAAAACTTCTGATCAAAGAGAAATACTCATCATTTTCCCCTTCACATAGAGTTTAAGGGTTGAGGTTTAGGGCCTGTATGAGGAGATGGGCATTTTGGGAGAATAGACAGTAGTTGCCAACAGTGCTGGCAGGCTAGGCCTTTTCAGCCAAGCGATTTTTTTTAAAAAGGCTGTAAAAAGCTTTTGGTGTAGACTAATCTCACTTTTATAAAAATCAGGCTGCATTTTCTGTTAACAATACTTTTATTCTGTGTTATTGTTGCCAGTTCTGATACAATTTGATTTTGCTGCTTGCGTGCTGTTTTGGATTCCTAATGAAGAAGAGTGTGAAATTTTAAAAAGAAAGAATGGATGAATGCTGAATGAATAATTTTTTTAAAAAAATGCTTCAATAATAAGGATTGCCTTTTTCTTTTTTTTAGATCCACCATCGCCACAAGTAGAATTCATGTCAACACGAGACTTTATACCATTATTGAGCTTTCTGAAAGCTGAAGGAAGAAATGGTCCAATCAGGTCTCTGGCTTTTACGCTACATATTTCAGACACCCAAGAATGCTTACTTCCATGTAATTGTTTTGTTTTTTTTAACGTTACTTGCTCTGATTATTTTGTTTCCTCTCCTTTCAAATATCACTGTCGTTCAAGGCAATACTAGAAGTAGTCCTCGACTTACAACCATTCATTTAGTGACCTTTCGAAATTATACCGGCACTGAAAAAAGTGACTTATGACTGGTTTTCACACTTACAACCATTGCAGCATTCCTATGATCAAATTCAGACGCTTGGCAACTGGATGTATTTTTGACAGCTGCACTGTCCCAGGGTCTCATGATCACCATTTGTAACCTTCCCAGCCAGCTTCCGACAAGCAAATGGGGAAAGCGAGATTCACTTAACATTTCAGTGATCTGCTTAACAACTGTGGCAAAAACTGGTTTAGCTCAACAGAGAGAAGCACTGTAATTTAACACCAGCTGTCTACAATTAAAGTAAGATCGAATCTCGCCAGGCTCAAGGTTGACTCAGTCTTCCATCCTTTCTAAGGTAGGTAAATTGAGGACCCAGTTTGTGGGGGCAATAAGCTGACTTTGTATGAAGTATGAAGGCTATTGCTTAACGCACTGTAAGCCGCCCTGAGTCTCCGGAGAAGGGCGGCATATAAATCAATTAAAAAAAAAAAGTCATAAAATGGGACAAAACTCACTTAACAACTGCCTTGCTTAGCAATGGAAAATTTGAGCTCCATTGTGGCCGTAAGTCGAGGACTACCTGTACATGGCAAATATGGATTTGTTCCTCTTGCATATGGATTGCACTTTAACATCCCAAAGTGCTTACTAGATCATTTTGGTTAGTTCATTCAGTTGACTCTTAAGTTTTGTTCAGAGGCAGGTAAGAAGTTTCATTTCACCATATTCAGAAACATTAGTTCTGGGAGGTTTTTGAAGATAAGGAGTACTGACGATCATTTAATTTGCATTAAGGAAGCTGTTTCTTTTGGAAAGGGAGGAAACACTTCCTAACAGTGAGAACAATTAACCAGTGGAACGGCTTCCCTTCAGAAGTTGTAGGTGCTCCATCACTGGAGGTTTTTAAGAAGAGACTGGACAGCCACTTGTCTGGAATGGTATAAGGTCTCCTGCTTGAGCAGGGGGTTGGACTAGAAGACCTCCAAGGTCCCTTCTGGCTCTATTCTGATTTATTATTGTCTCTTGTGGCCAGGGCTGGAATGTGACCCCAGCAGATAAGGTAGGTCATATGTACAAAAACCATTTAATGTTGGCCACCCGAGCAACGACACTGAAAGCAACATCTTGAAGAAAGTCAGGCTAGGCCGCAAAAGTCAGTAGCAGTAAAAAAAATAGTTCTTTGTGTGACTTGATGCTTTTATCTTCTTATTTCTAGTTCTTACCAAGTGATTGTCATTCCTGGGATTCCGCTCTGCAACTTTAATTGCTATTCCTTGACCAACCTCTCCTACTTCAGCAAAGGTTCAGAATCTGATAGCTACATGACAGCTGAGTTCTCAGCCAAGAGCATTCCTGAAAACAGGTTGACCTTTGTTCTCGGAGACCGACTATATTATGGAGGATATTATAATGCTCCCTTGAAACCAAGAAAGGCATATTGTATTGTACTTAGGACTGTCAGCAAGTGGAATTGGGTAAGAAGACTGTTAAAATTCTTCCCATTCTTTTATTCCTTTTATATTTGCATTTCAGCAGATTCCTGGGCAGCTTACAGAACAGAGGTTGGCAATGAAATAAATTGAAAACAAAGGCTTTCAAACAGGACCATGCCAAAAAGAGTATAATAGTATTTAGAAGAATGCAAAACAATCGAAACAATTTATGGAAGATAAGAAAGTCTGAGAATATAGAAAGATATTTACCTGTCTCTTTTAAGATCAAGAGAGATTTCAATTAAATTGAAGTGATATTAGCTCAGGCAGCACTGCGACAGCCACAAGTCGAGGACTGGTAATAAACCTACGGTTGCAACATCATCATAACTTCAGACGGTCACTGAATGAGGCAGTTGGTAAGTGAAATAAATTATATATTTTTTTTAAAAAAATCAATAATTAGAGCATGACCACCAAATGGAGCACCAATCAAACCTTCAATCCCAGGATCCTTAAGAGTCAGAATATATTTACTGTCAGGGATATGTGGGAACAAGGGCAGGGTCGTGCTTCTCCCCCATTTTATAAGACCTCTTCCCTGTCCCCCAAAGTCAAATTCAGATAATACTGAATTGACCAGTTAGTCAACTCAATACTGATATATTGGGATATTATGTTGACCCATTTGTATTATTTCTCTATCTTGGTAAAAAAAAAAAAAGTACAGAAGCACAGAGCAGGAAATATGATGCAACCTGTTTTAAGATTCCAGATGGAGGTAGTGTGTGATCAAGTACGATTGTTTCCATGGTTATTTTATACAGAAAAAAAAAAGCAGAAACTCAGGGATCAATACATTTATGACGGTACAGGTAATCTTCATTTACCAACTGCCTCATTCAGTGACTATTCGAAGTTAGGATGGTGCTACAAAAGTAAGTTTATGACCAGTTCTCATAGTGCTCTTGTGATCGCCATTCGGGCATTTTGTAACTGTTTACAATAGTCCCAGTATCTTGCAGTAACATGATCATCATTTGAGTATTTTGTGACTGGCACATTTTTACAATGGTCTTCGCACCCTGCAATCAAGATCAATTCAAATTTTCATGTTAATGAATATGCATTGTAGGCTAAGAAAAACTGCATGCCAAAACATGGAGAAATGAATATGTAAAATAGCATTTTATTGCTTTCTTTGCATATTGTGGCAGAGTGCCATGCAAAAATGTAGAAATTCTGTGAAATGCATGGAAATGTGTTTTTTTTTTTTAAACTTTTAAATTTAAGTTAGAGCCTGGTGGTGCGACAGACTAAAGCACTTTTATTAACATCAATTGCCTGCAATTACTGCAAGTTCAAATCTCACCAGGCTCAAGGTTGACTCAGCCTTCCATTCTTTCTAAGGTAGGTAAAATGAGGACCCAGATTGTGGGGGCAATAAACTGACTTTGTATAAAAATATACAAAAGTATGAAGGCTATTGCTTAACGCATTGTAAGCCGCCCTGAGTCTCCGGAGAAGGGCGGCATATAAATCAAATTAAAAAAAAAAAGTTGTGAGATTGGATAGAAAAATGTAAGATGATATATAAGAAAGTGAGGAGCACCCACATCCTAAAATGGAAAGATCTGCCTATCCTTATTGAGAATTAAGAGTTTTTTATGTATTGGAGAAAAAAAAATACATTTATGTGTCTTTTTTCCCGTCAGATGAGAACACAGTCCTGTGTAATATGGGCCCATATTAGAGGTAGGTTTTCTGCTAAAAAAATAGTGCTGGGTTGTTGAGGCAGGGAGACAAAATGATAGGGGAAAAAAAAGAAACTTGTCCAAGGATACACACAAGAGTAACTCACACGGGAACAGCTCTTTACAAAATATTTTTTTTCTTCTAAATTGTCAAGTGAAGTACTATTAATAACAGTTTGTTATCACCCCACACTGTTGCAAATCTAGATTTAAGAGATAGACACATTAACATCAATAACACCATTATAAATTTCTAAACAAGTTACATTCCTATGATTTGAGGCTGGTAAAACCCCTCCAGAAGCTGCAGAGTATGGAGCATTTTCAGGAGATAGATTAGACGGAGGGCAGGTTTATGTGCTGGTCGGCCTAATTCAAAAATCTTTTCAAGCAAATAATGAGAGAAAAAGAGAGAAAGGTGTCGGGATGAAAGGAAAAAGGATGTATTTTGTCTTCTACCTTTATCTTTGCTTGCTTCAGCCGCACTAATCATTGACATTCAATGAGACCAATTCTTTGCATTAAATGCTGAAAGGCTTGTGGAGGAAACTAGATAGCATTGGATCAAATGCATTTTGTGCCATGCGTCAGGTGTTACACAGATCCCAGGTTTAGTCTGTGGTTGCTCAGTCACGCAGTCACAATCTGTTGAGGCGTAGAGAATCTGTAAACCTTCCCATTCACTTTTCTACCTGGGTTTTCTAGATAGATGTAGCTAGAGCAGACAAGATACACAGCCTGGGTCAACAGCTGGGAGATAATTAGGAATATATGCAAATCACTAACCTCACAATCGATACAAAAGCTATGAGTGGTGCAAAGAGCCATGGAAAGATACATGCTTGGCATTACAAGACAAGATAGAAAGACTTGCACATGGATTAGAGAACAAACGAATATCAAGAGAGTAAAAGAATGGAAATGGAAATGGGCTGGTCACATAGAAAGAAGAACTGATGGCAGGTGGACCAAGGCAGTCATAGAATGGCTCCCACTTTGATAAAAAGCATCCATGAAAGAGACCTAAAAAAAGGTGGATCAATGACATCAAGTATCGCAGGGGCCATAGCAAAAGAAAGCTCAGGATCATATGTGTTGGAGACATTTATTTATCTATTTATTTTATTTATTTATTTGTCAACAAGTAAAGGAAACAAATAACACTATAGACATAGACATGGACACATGAAAAAAATTGGTACAAATAAAAGGATATAAATGGGCAAAACATAGCCATAAACACATAGAATGTTTACATATAAATGGGGACAGTAGGAACGCTGGTGCGCTTATGCACGCCCCCTTAGGGACCACTTAAGAAACATAAAAGTTCCACAGTAGACAGTTTAAGGTAAAAGATATGGGGATTAGCGAAATTTACAACAGGATCAGGTAGAGTGTTCCAGACATTTACTATTCTATTGCAGAAGTCATATTTCCTACAATCAAGTTTAGAGCCAATTACATTGAGTTTGAATCTATTGGTAGTCCTTGTGTTATTACGGTTGAAATTACTCATTTACAGATAGGACATTTTGGTATATAATCTTATGAACTAAGCATAGATCGGAACGTAGATAGCGTAGTGCAAGGCTATCCAGACCTAAAATTTCAAGCCTGGTCTTGTAGGGAATTTTATTTCGAGCAGAAGATTTGAGTACTCTTCTAGTAAAATATCTCTGCAGATGTGGAAGAGGCCTTCATCCTGCAGTGGATAGACAATGGCTAAAATGATGACATGCAAATCACTTTCAACTGAACACTGAGGCCTAGGTCTATGCAACACATTAAGTGAAAATGTGGTTTGCTAATTTAGGGTATAATGTGAAGCATAATCTTTTACAAATGATGCTTTGTAATTGAAATGTATTGAATGAGCCCAGTCAACAGAAATCTATTCTGAAAACCAGATCCCTCATCCTCAAGGGTTTCCCTCTCAATCTATTAAATATGGACCATGATGTGTCACATTTAATTGGAGGAGAAGAGCTAAATTAGCCTATGGTATCCCAAAATTAGGAGTCTGGCAGCACCTTTTCTGGCACCTTTTCCTATTAAAAGGCATAGCTCACTTTGTCAGATGCTGCGGAGTGGCTCAACTGATGTAAGATTAAAATTGCAATGAGGATGAAATTGTCAGTGGGCAGATGTTTTGTGGATTGCTCGAATAGCTTTTCTTTATTTGCACAAGTTGTAATTGGATGGTGGTTACAAATCCTGAACTTTCTTCAGAGATGAAAGTTTCATCTCTTGATGAACTTTCCTGCCCCGCTGGAAAAAGTTCAGGTTTTTGACTCACTGCTGATTTTTATTTGTTTTTGGAGGTAATTGCATCTAATAATCTTTGAGCGTAAGAGATGACCTTCATGTCAGAACAAGGACCCTCTCAATTTAGCTTCTCTGCCCTCCTATTTTTAATAATGATTAAAGAGTTACATGCAGTACTGATGATGGTCTTTTGCTTGTACTTGACTTGTACAGCTTGTTCAGCGCAAATTGCACATCAAAGGAGATTTCTGGACAATTCTCACTGCAAAGTGTCGGAAAACAAAGAATAGTGTCTGTGTGTATTTCAAATGGTTACAGACCCTGCTTTGCTAAAGTCCTTTATTACATGTTTTACAATTGGCAAATGCTGTTTTATTGTTTCTTTCTTTCAGATATATCATTCCCAGTGCAGCATTTGACTATGGTTATTTTAAGCTCAGTTGCTGCTATCAGTACCATCTTTTTATTATTACTCTGCCTAGCATGGTAGGTAACGTTATGTGACTTACACATTATTTAAGCTCAAAGACCAGTTATTCCTTTCACAATGAATTCAACCTGATAAGCAATAATTGATGCTGGAGATAAATTTCTCCAGCAGTTATGTAATGATTGATGCTTGGGGATCTTCAATACAATCATTTTTAATATATAATCTTTTAGAGTTAACTTTAAACCTTGTTAGCAAAAATAATCAAAAGCTGGTCTATATTTTTCTTAGAAAAATGTCCCAGGAATAGTATACTGGCAATGTCACTGATGCTTTTCACCACTCATCTATCTAGCTCTGTGATCTATCTATTGAATCTACCTATATTATATGACTACTATGAAAAACAATATAAATATTAACTGTAAACATTTAGCTATTGATTTTTCCAGTGTATTATAAAAGTATATATTCATGTAGAACTCTTTTAATAGGATCTATCTATATGTTCTACTTTTCAAAATTATTATTTGTGTGAATCTTGTAAAACCTTATCACTAGAGACATTATATTCTGCTGTTTTATAAGGGATTCAGACAGATTATATATTTGTCAACCAAACAAACATGGCAAATTTTGCTGCTGAGAAAACTAAGCTCAAAATATCTGAGTTGCTACATTTGCATTTGACTGATGATTGTCCTTGTTACTTTGTCGTATTTTCTGTATTTCTGTGTTTCAACTGGTTTAACTGGGCTTTTTCATCCTTTCCCCAATGTTTCTCCCACTCCTCTCTGCAGCAGCACATTCAACTCCAGCTGAACCGTCAAGTAAACGTGTTTTTTTTTTTGATAGACTGGATATTTATCAACTACTATCAATACTGCCCAAGAAAGCAATGCATGGTTCTGCAAATGCTTTTGTCTAATAGATACAACTCCTGATCATTTGGAAGAGAATAAAAACAAGACACAGAAATACGGAGCTATCCTTCAGTGCTCAAGAGGAAGAAACCCATATGCAAAATACCATCTCCTGCCTTCCCATTTAAAAAGGGCTTTTCATACCTTGTTTTCTTCTTGTAATTTTCAATCTTGAAGCTTGTTAGGTGCACATTTTACATCCAGAGCAAACTTGTGTGTCTTCTGTTTCAGTTCATGTTAAGACACTGAATTTATTTTTGGATGGGAAGTTACTAAATATTTTTAAATAAGAACCTTTAGTAACTCTTTAAAAATAGAACAATTATATTAGAGGCCCAAGTTAAAACCAGAAATACACATTTCTGAAAATGAGTTAAAGCTGAATTTGTTTTCCTTTGAAATCAAGAGGACTTTTCCCCTTATTTCAATAGAATCTATGCTTACTTTTGTAATTTGGATCCACTCAGTAAGTACACATTTCTACTGTGTTGTTTAATGGGACTAGGCTAAAAAGATATATATATTTTTAACCATTCTCGTAACTTCCAGAAAATTTTGCTACTTTCATAATTTGCAAAGAAGCAAAATTTGGTGTAATTTTCATTTAGCAAGAACTTTACAGTATTTTGTAGCCTCCCACACTTCCCACATTGCATTTCAAATTATGATGGAATATCTTTCAAAGGTTTGGGTTTTTTTTTTAGATTAGAAGCATGAGCACAAAGCAAGAAGAAACGGCATTCATTTTAAGACTTACAATTATTAGCTTTCAAGGATTACGGAAAGCAGTGTTGACATTGGAGAGATTGGGGCTGGCGTCTTCAGCCCTCCTGGACCTGAAGGCTTAACCCATCCATTTTAAAGCTTTAAGTGAAAAATGTAAAACTTACATTAATTTTCTCTTTAACTTGAAAATGCTAAAACTCCCCCATCAAAAATTCCATTTTGCTATTCAATTGGCACTCTGTAGCCTTGGACTGCAAATTTCTAACCCCTGGTGTTCTATGATCTGCAAAGAAAAAAAACACCATTACATTTGCTGTTCAAAAGTAAAATTGTTTCCAAAAGAAAACAAACAAAACAAAAACAAAACAAAAAAAACCAACCAAAAGAATTTTGCAAGCAAAATGCAAGAGAAAAGACAAGTTTCTTTCATGGAAGTAAACATTGGGCAAATTGGAAGATATATTTCAACACACTCTCAAATCCAGGGAACTTCTAACTCCGATGTATTTGTCTTTAGAACTTTGTTTTAAATGTAGTTTTTGACTTACGATTTTAAGAAATAATTGGTAGAAACCAGTTAAGCAGAAATGTTTACAGAACTTTGATGATCACTTGAGTATTAAAGAAAAGCATTTATTTTTCACTGGGTTATCCTTTTCTTCCTTATTTTGAAATGTATTGTGGTTTTAGTAATGTTTCGCATCACACAGCCTTCCTTCCTGAGGTTATCAGGCTAATTTATGGCCTATTAGAATGGTAAAAATATGTATACATTTGAAATGATTCAGTTACAAATAACTTAACATAATTATGTAAAACGTACTTGTTTTTTTTCTCGCTCGCTCGCTTTCCAACCAAAAACATGAGCTATTGCTATATTACACTCCTCGGTGCTTTGACAAATTTAAGAGCCCTCCCATACTTCTAGTATCACTGTCTGATGTCTACATATAGATCACCTTTGGTAAACCTATTGACTATTTTCATCTTTAAGTTGATACAATTCTGCAAAAAATTGAGAACTTTATCATTGCTATTTTGTCCTAATTTTTGCATCTCGGCAACCGTCTCCCTACTGCAGGTATCAGGAATTTTCTTCCCAAGCACCTGATATGTTCAATTTTTAAAAACAGTAGCCTGCACCATTTTTAAACATCAAATTACAACCCAAGTCTTGTCTCAGTGAAGGATTTTGCATTCGGGTTGAAAAAAAATTTGGCGGCCTGGCCACTCATGTCCTGAATGGAATGGAACATTTAGATGCTCTTATTCTTTACCTTGGAACCAATGAAAAGAAGGCAAAGGATTTTTTTTAAAAATAAAACAGCCAGTTTGGTGTCTAGCTTAAGGCACCTAGCTAGAAAGTATGAGACTGTGGATTCAAGTCCTGGCTTAGCTTTGAAAGCCAGTTGGATGCCTTTGGGCCAGTCTTCTCTCTCAGTCCTAGGAAGGAAGTACTGGCAGGACACTTCTGAAAATGTTGCCAAGAAGACTGCAGGGACTGATCCTAGTTCCTAGGACTCAAGATGGACTCAACAGCTTAAGAAACATCAGGGGAGAAACCTCAGTTTAATGGGATTTTTTAAAGGGAAATGTTAGAGCACTTTCCTACTGTCCCATCATGTTCTTTGGTGGCTTGGTTTCCTTTTAACTCTTCCCAACACGATTGCTTTCTTTAGTGAATTCCCCTGCATGATATGGCCAAGATAAGTGAGTTTGATGGGTTTTCCTTCCACTGGTGTGTCTGCTGTTATGCGCTCCAGTACTTGTTTGTTGGTTACCTTTGCTGTCCAAGGAACCTACTCAAATTCAAAAGTGATTGTAGTAAATGAACTGGACTTTAAATACTTTTTCAGAATAAAGTCTGGTGTCCTTTCCTACACTTCTACAGTTAGGAAAGGGTGGTTGCTTCTCTAAAACAACTAAAACAAAATTTGACAATATTTGATATGGCCATGGGCGCTAATCAATAAAGTATACTAAAACTTTGTATAGCCTATGCTGTTTTCTCACAGAGTGATCCATATTAATATCTACATTTTAGAACAGAGGTCCCTAAATGGCCTCTGTCCCCAACCGGGCCGCAGGCCATTTGGAACCAGGCCACAAAATTGTGTGAGCATGTGTATGCGTGTGTGCATGAAGCTGCATTTGTGAAAGCAGCGCATGCGTGCAAAACCATCCCCTGCACAAATTGCATAAGCATAGGCCATACATGCTGGTAACATGGCCAAAAAGAACAGATAATCCTCAATTGACAACAGTGACCGTTCGAAGTTACAACGGCAGTAAAAAAAAGTGACTTACGAACATTTTTCACACTTACAACCATTGCAGCATCCCCATGGTCACGTGATCAAAATTGGAACGCTTGGCAACTGGCTCATAGTTATGACGGTTGGTTGTAAAATGGGGAGAACTTACTAAACCAATGACTCGCTTAGCAACAAAAATTCTGGACTCTGTCGTGGTTGTAAGGCAAGTCAAGGACTACCTGTAAAAAAGATTTTTTTTTCGGTAGGAAAAGGCTAAGATTAGATATTGTATCCTGCAAGTGGCCAGTAGGTGGCGCATTCTGCCTGTGCGCTGAGCAAGACTTTGGGAAAGTGAAAAATAGGGGGGGGGGACGCCATTGTCAGTTTTATGAGCAAGCTGATGAGTCGGAAGTTGGAAAAACAACCACACTTTTCATGTGATGTGCTGTAAGTCAAGCTGGTGCTCAGTTGCTCCTTGGAGAAGCTGATGTGGCCCTGACATTCTTTTAGTCTCTACCCAATCAGGGCTCTTTCTCAGGCTTTCAGCAGTGCCAACCTTAAAACAAACTTCCCATGTTCTGTTGTAACCAAACCATTAATAACTTTGATGTGCTGCTATCTACAAAATTCCCCAAGCAAAGGATGCATTGTATTTATGTATCTATTTCTGTTTAGACTTCTTTTATAGACATTCGACAGTGCTCTATGGAACCAGGCTGAGCCTTGGAATTTGATATATTTCAGCATGTGTGTTTCTAGACATAAGAAACGAGAGGGTGCTGATTTTTACCATACAGCTTTAACAGAAAGAGAAGGCAGAACCAAATCTGTGAACACAAATAAAAGAAAAAGATTTCAAAACAGAAGAAACAAACAGGAAAAAAGGCAAGACAATAAAACGATAATTGCATATATATGTATACGTCAGAGGTGGGTTTCAGCAGGTTCTGACCAGTTCTGGAGAACCGGTAGTGGAAATTTTGAGTAGTTTGGAGAACTGGTAGTAAAAATTCTGACTGGCCCTGCCCCCATCTAGTCTCTGCCTCCCAAGTCCCAGCTGATTGGGAAGAAATGGAGATTTTGCAGTAACCTTCCCCTGGAGTGGGATGGGAAAGGAGATTTTACAGCATCCTTCCCCTGCCACGCCCACCAAGCCATGCCACGCCCACTAAGCCACACTCACAGAACCGGTAGTAAAAATTTTTGAAACCCACCACTGGTATACGTATATGATCAAAATTCAGACGCTTGGTAACTGACTCATATTTATCACAGTTGCAATGCTCTGGGATCATGTGATCACCTTTTGTGGCCTTCTGATAAACAAAGTCAATGGAGAAGCCAGAATCACTTCACAACCTTGTTACTAATACTGCCGTGATTCATTTAACTGTGGCAAGAAAGGCCGTAAAATGGGGCAAAGCTCATTTATAAACTGTCTCGCTTAACAACAGAAATTTCAATTCAATTGCAGTCTTACATCGAGAACTACCTGTACCTGTGTTTGATAGACTCCTGTGCATGTAGCCAAGTGTGGATTTCCATTATTTTTTTTTTTGAAAATTTATTCATTTATTTTTAAAACATAGAACATAAAACAACAACTTTTTGGAGCAAGAGTTTGACCCGGTATAACATAGATATAAATTCCCAATTTCATCAATTAACATCTTAAGACAAACAAAAAAAATAACAAAAGTAACAACAACAACAACAACAAAATCCCCAAATCTAAACCCAATTTTTATCATCCAGTCTAACATCTTATTCTAACATTTAAGTTTTTATTATGTAGTCACCCTAATTCTTAAACTTCAAATCCAATCAGTATTTCATGTATTTTCTGTACTTCAAAGACCCAAATCAAATCAATGTTTCTTTTAAAATACATCTAATAACCAATATAAAATATTTCATTCCTCTCTGAAAAACATTTTAAAGTCAATATCCATTCTTCAAAAATATTTCCTTCATTCCTCTTAGGTTTATTTTTAGCTGGATTGCAGTTTAGTTAGCTGGTTTCCAGGGATGCTTTCCTCCACTCCTAACCTTATTTATTGGCTGGATCACAGTTAGTTTTAACTGCTTCCAACATTTTCTCCTTCACTCCTCCAGGTTTATTTTTAGCTGGATAGCAGCTTTTCAGCTGTTTTCCAGGGGTGCTTCCCTCCACTCCTAACCTATATTTCGCTGGTTCACAGTTTAGCTTTAACTGCTCCCCAGTATGTCTCCTCTTCTCCTCCTAAGTTTATTTTTTGCTGGATCACAGCATAATATGCTATTTTCCAGGGATGCTTTCCTCCACTCCTTACCTTATATTTAACTGGTTCACAGTTTAGCTTTAACTGGTCCCCAGCGTTACCTCCTCCACTCCTCCTAAGTTTATTTATGGCTGGTCCACAGCTTAATTAGCTGTTTTCCAGTGATGCTTACCTCCACTCCTTACCTTATATTAACTGGTTCGCAGTTTGGCTCTAACTGCTCTCCAGTGTTGCCTCCTCCATTCCTCCTAGGTTTATTTTTAGCTGGTTCACAGCCTAGTCAGCTGCTCTCCAGGGATGCTTTCCTCCACTCCTATCCTTATATTTAACAAATTCACAATTTAATTTTAATCATCTAATTCCCAAAATCATACTTCTTTAGAAATTTAAAATAGTAATACGTTTTGAAATATATCTTCTCTCTTACTCTCTCTAGGCCAATTCACCATAGTTATAGGATCTATAAACAAATCTTATTGTTATTCAAGAATTCATTCCCATTCTCTTGTTTACTATAGAAAAACAACATTTTAAAACAACTTTCAAGTCCATTTTCTATAAGCATTAAGACACTTATTAATATTTTTTAGAGAATTCTTTCAAAGTATTCACATTTTTTCTATTAATCACATTTCTCGCTTTAAAGATGAGCATTTTCTATAATTGTTGAATCTTATCATTCTTATTGGTAATCAAAAATTCCTTCATAATCTTTATATTTCTTATAGCTTACAGCATTTTAAACCATGCTTATTAATTAAAAAATTTTTTAAAATAAATTTCTTTCAAAGTATCCACAATTTTTCTATAATAATATTCCTCGCTTTAGAAATCATCATCTATAAATAGTTCTTAGCAATATTCAGATATCCACATTTCCTTACTTTCTATAAAAAAACCCCAAAAGAACAGTTTCCTATAATTATTAAGTCTGTCAGCAATTCTTATTAATACTCAGAAAATCATTCATAATCTTCATATTTCTTGTAGTTTTTCTACATTCCCATTTCCCCCCCCCCTTTTTTTTAAAAAAAGTGCTTCTTTCAATACTAATAAAGAAGGATATTTAAAGAAGGAAACTTAAAAAGGAGAAAGGGAGAGGAAAAAAGAAATAGAATTATGACAAA